ATAAGAATAAAGGAATTTAACTCAAAATTTGTTTCTTGGATACTGTCTTTCATTGTGTATCAGTCATTTGTTTCTTCCTCATTTTTTTTATTTCTTCAAACATCTACATGTGTAAACAGGTAGGTAATCTTTGTGCTCCACTTTATAAAAACCTTGCTAGATATCTTTTAAGAAATGAAAGGCTGATATGTAAAGATTTGAGCAAATATTGAAAACTATCTGTGGATTCAGCCATCTAAGGATGAGCATTTTAGTGGAGCCAGGAGCGAATTTCCATCCCATACACCCTGGTGGGCTCTGTATCTCCACCATTATACCACGTTGTTGTTGTTGTTTAGTCGTGTCTGACTCTTCATGACCCCATGGACTAGAGCACGCCAGGCCCTCCTGTCTTCCACTGCCTCTCAGAGTTGGGTCAAATTCATGTTGGTAGCTTCGGTGACACTGTCCAACCATCTCGTCCTCTGTCATCCCCTTCTCCTCTTGCCTTCACTTTTTCCTAACTTTAGGGTCTTTTCCAGGGAGATTTCTCATTAGTGCTAAATCCAAGGGCAGCTGTGGATTTAAGGTCTTGTCTATAGTGATTGTCCAACCCTTTTAGACTCTTGGGGAAAAAACCAAATTGAACTGCATGGAGCAAAGTGCCTATGGGGCCTGTGTTGACGATAATGAGCTGTCATTGTTTCATTTGATGTTTTCACTTGCTGCTCAATTTTTATTGTTCGTCTCGCATTCTGTTTTGTGAGCCTGGGCATATAAATATTATAAACAATGTTTTCAATTTACAAATTGCAGGTAGTCTAACAAAATCCTTTACTCTGAAGTAGATCAGTTAGGTAATCAAAATGTCTGGAATTCTACTTAGGCTAGAAACATGTTCAGAAAATGCAATCTGGTGTGTTTCTCCTTTAGTGCTGTGTCTGTAAGAATCGTGTCATTAAATATAGTTTCCAACACACACACCTGAGGTTTTGAGATCACTATTTCCTTCATTGTGTTTTCTTTGTCAGCTACCTTTCTTAAAACCAAAGGCTTGCAGTTCCAAGCAAGGATTGCCTGTTTATTTCAGCCCCCCCCCAGCTGCATTTACAGTATGTCTCTGTGCTGCTCCCATGCCAACTGTATGGTGCATGCAGATCACAAATGCATTGTATTATGTATAACACACCTATTATGTGGCATGGTCTTGCTGTTTCTCCTTAAGCCTATTATATTATGTAAACATATTGAAGTGAATTAAGTATAATGACTGTATAAATAACTTAAATTTGCAAATAAAGAAGCAGGATGGGACGAGGGGCTGATAAAAATGAAGATGAGAAGGGATTCATTAGCTTTTCTGAACACCAGTTAAGACAGTAAGTGATTGTTCTGTATGTAAAATCAAGGAATTTTAGGTAAGGCACAAAATGCTTTAATAATTGTTTTTATTTATCTTTTACTGGGCTATGTATTATTTACAAGGAACTTACAACTTTCAAAGCACAGAAGCCCTGCTATTACAGTGTTTATTTATAAATCTATATTATCTAATCTAGTTTACTAATGACAATTCAGAATCCCAATATTAAAGCATGTGGTTTATCTTACTCAACCTATATTGCAGGCAGCTTGTGACAGTGGAGTACCTCAAGAATCAATCACATGGTACACAAGGACAATTAAAGTATTTTCCTATAGTATGATGTTTCCTTATTTAGGTAGTCTAATGTGATGTCTCCAAAACCTAGTCTAGTACTTAATCTTTGAAACTTCAGGTTTGACACATAGCAAAGTTAGGATTTCAAACACAACGTACTAACGTTGGACCCTTACAATTATATCTCTAATACTCACTAATTGCCCTGTTTCTTTAGCCCACTTCTTTGAGATTTATTTCACCTGATTGAGGGTGTGACTACACAGGAGAAAACCCATTTTGATCTGAAGTTTTTCAAATCAGGTCCCTGCAGTTTCGATGGGTGAAATCATGGTAGATGTCCAGGCAAATACCAACAATTATTGTGTTGCAGGGGCAGAGGCAAAAAGCTGTGAATGTGATTACTATTTCCTTCCTTTCCATCATGAGTAGTTTGCCCAATCCTAAAAGCCCCTCTAAGGGAGATAGCACCAGGAAGAGATGCATTTGCCCTGTTCAGAAAAAAATTCTGGCCAGTATCTTATTCAATATTTTATTTGTACACTGAGCTCCAGCTGCAGCAGCAGCCTTAAAGATCTGACAAGGTGATGATTTCCACTAGGAGCACTTCTTCCCTTTGCCCTTTTAATGTTGTTTTTTTTTAATTCAAAAGTGACTTAGGGTTAATTTGTCATAACACTAACTCTGGAAAGCATTTTTTAAAAACACTGAAGGGAAGTGACATTCCTACGACAGCCCCTTTGTATCAGATCAGTTGATCAAACAGGGCAGAAAGCAGGGAAAAGCAATGCCAGCAAATCAGACCAAATTAATCCACCTCTGCTGGCTGAAGGAAAAAGTAAATTTTGCAATGGCCTTCCTCATATGTAGGTTTCTCTCATGGAGTTGCTGGTCTTTCGTTTAACTGAACCTATGCCAAATCCAACACAAATTGCGGGGTAGATTGCCAGTATTGTCGCCCCCTGAAATACCACTCTTACCTTGACATGCAAATCAGGCATATAAATCAAACCCATCAACAAGACTTAAAGATAATTTTTAGGAAATCATAGAATGAACAAGTTAAAAGAAAAAGCTAAATAATTACAAATAAAATAATACATAATACACATTTAAACAAGTGAACGTGCAACTATTAAATCAGTTACAGAGAAGAAAAATGACACTATGTATTATGAAATAAAGAATATCTACAAAGTTACAAATGGTCAAGAGGTTATTTGAAGTCCACCAAGACTCTTATCCTCCACAGGGTTTAGAATAAGTCACTAGGATTGCTGTGATCCAGAGTACTATAAGTCACAAAACCAGGAGTTCTGCCTCACCCAAAATTTCCAGTCTATTTTTTATTTCTCTCCCCACATTTTTCAGCAGAACACTCTTAACTGCCAGTTTTATCTGCTGTTTACAAAGTTCTGTACTCACATGGTTCCTCCCACTCAAAAAGGATAGGATACAGTATATCAGAGTTCTTAAGGAGTATAACACACAGTTTACAATTTGTAGTGTCTGCAAACCTATAAACTTAAACATAAATTACATATTTATCTAACCTAGGCTCTGTACCGTTTCTTTCAACGGATCCTTCAGTTGGCAACTTGAATGCAAATTTACTAATAAGTGCTCCAGCATATCACTGTGTTTTCTTTATAATTTGTAACCCCACATATATTCTATGTTAAACTGCTGGTTTGTTCTAGTACATCTCAGTAACTCTGGTGACTTTTCCAGCACCAGCTTAGCATTCCAAAGTGGTGTTATTATTATTGTTAATCTATGCAGTGTCAGTCATCTCTCTTTTCAGTCCCTCAAAGGATTTACAGCTAAATGAATGCATGGCTTATCTAGCACCCCATAATTCTTTCTCAGTAATCTGTTCTCAATTCCAGGGTTCCCACTGAAAGCATGGACATTCTGTCATTCTTAACCTGAGCAGTGCCATTTGGGAAAGGAGATTAAACAGCCCTTCAATCAGATTCAATTTAGTACACAGACTTAGTTCAGATCTGTAGGTAGGAAGCTGGAGTGAACAAAAACAAAACAACATCCCTGGGTGATTCTAGCTGGAGATGTCCAGCTGGAACACTGAGCAGCAACTTGTCTTTTTCTCTCAACAGATTTTTCAGGGGTGGGGGGAAATACGAGGGGTAGAAAAGACAAAATGGTTACAAGCTTACAGTAGAAGACAACATAGTCTAGAATCCACTTGTTCACAAAATTTATTGAAAAGATTGTGTGATTACATAGTACCGCCTGTTAATGATGTAAGATGCCTCCTTATTCATTGTTCGTAGTTTTGAATATAATCTTTTAATGATGCAAATCACTGCTGTATATTCATTGTTTTCAACTTTAAATTTTGTATTTCCCTGTTTGTAAGCTGCCTTGGATCATTTTCAAGGAGAAAAGCGGAGTAAAAATATTTTAAACAAATAAATACTAATGAACCTTGTCTGAAAGCAACCTATCACTCCTCACCCACCATCTCTTCTGTCTTAAACTTTTCAGTGGACAAACGCTAAGAAAATTACTTGCCTGTTTCACAAAAAGATGAAGAAATAGGGTAGGTTATTCGGGTTTGCAGCCTACACCCATTCCTTCTCCCTTGACGCAGACATCAGAGAGATATGCAAGGAAGGAGAACGTTTAACTTAATGAACTTCCACTTGATGCATAGCTGCTGAGAGTCAGAGGAATGCAGTGCTAAGGCAGGTTCAAACCCCCATTCAGTCAAGATGTTCAGTAAACGATCTTCCTCACAGAGTTGCTGTAAGGAAGGGGGGAAAAAGACGTAGTGGGGAAATCAAGGTAAGCAGCCTTGGGTTTCGTGGAGGAAGGGAAGAGGACACAGAGATCTGCGGGCCTGGAATGGCAACCTTCTTGTCAGCCAAGCACTTTTCACTCCAGAAAGACACTATCGTACGTGTACGTAAGACTGCACTTCACTTAATCCTAACCATCCACTGAGATTCCTGCCAGCCGTCCAGAGTTGCTAGGGGCGGACTAGGAATAGTGGGTCTCGTAAAATGTTGTTCAACTACAACTCCCATTAACCCTTTGTATAGGATACGCTGGCTAGGGCCGATGGGAGTTGCAGTCCAACATGAGCTGGAAACCGCGGTCTCTGTGGAAGGAGGCCCTCGAGTGGTCTTTCGCTCTGAGTAAACGCGCTCGGGATAGGGTTGTGTCAGCCAATCCGCGCCTGGCCTTTCCGGCCTTTCCCACGAGGTAGACCAGGAACGATCCTAGAGACAGCCCCCCCTCTCGCTCGGCTTTTGCTACAGCTCTAAGCCTTCCGTCTTTTTCCGCCTCAAGCGGAACCTTTGCGATGGGTCGTGGCGGGGGGACGGCATTCTGCGCCGGCCCGGGAAAGAGAGGCGGGGCCCGTGTGGAAGCGGAGCCGCTGAAACCGCCTCCGTTGCCTTTCACGTTGTTTCGGCGCCCGGCTGAGCTGAGCGGGTGGAAGGTGTTGCCGCCCCGGGGGTTCTCCGTCTCTCACACCCTGCGTCGCCTTTCTCGCCCGCTTTTTGGTCTCCTTGAGCCGAGGAAGTGGAAGGGGCGATGCAGGAACAGGAAAGAAGGAGGCCGGGAAGGTCACCACCCGCACGGCAGCCTGGCCCCGGCCTCTTTCGCTTTCGCCTTCCTCGCCGTCCCGCCCGCCAGGAGGAATTGGCGGAAAGGGGGTTGGACGTGTCGGGGGTGCCCTTTAGCGAGGCCTCTACCTTTGAGTGACTTTGGCGGAGGAAGGTGAGCTCATATCTCTGGTGGTGGCTTGTTCCGTCCTCCCCCCCCTTGTGTTCCCTAGTTACGCCATTCATTCTGAGGCTGCCCTCTCCGTCCCCGTTTTCAATATAACCTGCTTCTAAAATGATGATGACAGTTGCGTGCCGTCAAGTCGATTGTGACTTATGGCGACCCTTTCCAGGATTTCCTAGGTAAAGAACACACAGAAGTAAGCCGCCCAGAGACCTCTGGGTGGAGTGGGCGGCATATAAATTAAATAAATAAAATAAATTAAAAAAATAAGTGTTTTTACCTTTGCCTTCTTTTGGGGGGTGCCCTGGGTCTCCACAGCTTGCCCAAGGCTACACAGGCTGCCTCTATTAATTAGCAGGAGGCCCAGGGGGGGAATCGAACCTAAACCACTGAGTTATTCAGCCGGCTCCTGTTTTTGTAGTTAGATCTAATATTGTCAGTAACCTGCTCATGTAGTCCCGTATATGTTTAATGCTTACAGCGTTTAGTTAAATCGTCCAAAGAGTCCTATAAAGAGGATCTGATGGGAAGCACAGGACCATATTCGGCACTCACTTTTCTGTGTTTTTTTCAGCGCAGGAGTAGTTGTGCTTTATTCCAAACTGCCATATCACCTCTGTAATTGTCGTCTATATGTTATACTGACTGATTTATGTTGTTCCCAGGAAGCCCCACACAGCATACAGTCTCTGAGATAGACCCTGGCCCAGGTGAACAAAATGTAGGTGTCTGTAGATGTGTGTCTGGGCAGGAACAACTAGAATTCTGCCTGTGGGATTCTTGGGGAATTCTGGAATGTGAAGTCTTAAAAAACCAAATGGCAAGTCATTATATAAGTAGATCTCAAACAAAGGGTGTGCTTAAAAGATTTGTGTTATTCTGTTTGTATAGTTTCACTTTCATTTCCGTTGCTTGCCTTTCTCTTCCTGCATTTATTTCCATGTTTCTTTGCTTTGTCCACATTGACTTCATTTTCAATAATCCATAATTCCTTGGCTCTTCCAGTTCCTCAAAGTGTATACTTTCAGAGAGAGAGGTGGAGGTTAGACTTTGCATAGTCAGTGTCTAGAGTTGCCGTCACTAAAGAAAATGATTGAAAGCAACAAATAATGTTTTAATAGGGCTTCCAACATTATAAAATACCGGGAGAAGAAAATGCTTCTGTCAGAATTGGAAATACAGTAGGTCTGTCTGATCAAGTCTGTTTGTCTCTCATCCATGTGTTGCTCATAACAAAGTTATATAAACACATTGTGTGATTATGTAGATTAGAAAATATCTTCCTATTCCATAGTTAGCAGTAATTTATTTAATAAACTCCAGGGTTTTCTAGGCAGGGAATACACAGAAGTTGTTTACTGTTCCTTTGTTTTAGGGGTGCCTTGGGACCATGCAGCTTGCCCATGACTACACAGGATGGTTTTACAGTATTCACAGCAGGCACAGTGGGAAATTGAACTCCCAACCTCAGACTCCATAGCCAGACACCTAAATTACTGAGCTATCCAGTCAGCATAACGTAATGTAATACAATAAAATAACAAAGTAATCGAGCAATCTCACAGTTCCAGGATGTATTTAGAGAAATGATAATTTGTCATTTTTGCTAGGATATTATGAAAAAAATATTTAGGGATAAATGAAGCTGGAAAAGGTATTGGTTAGAAAAACAAGTGAGGTAATCTGTTAGTGTCCTTCTAATATCCTTGGTGAGGATTTTAATGCTCTTTAAAAAGAAAACAAAATACATGCAGTCTCTTTCACAGACACATCTGTTTTGAGTATTCACAGTTCTGCTTAGGTAAATTAAGCAGTTAACGAGTAATAACAATGCATATTACCAGAAAGAATATAATGTTGTGGCTAGCAAACATATGCTTAGTCTGAATTAATACCACAAGCTATGTTTAGACATGACAAGTGTTTTACAGTGTGTTTTACTGTCTTGCAATGCATAGTTATTGCCCTGGTCAGTTGGAGGAAATGGGGAAGGAGGGTCAAAGACCAAAGTATGAAGTACAGTGGCAAAAATGAATGTTTTATTTTAATAAAAATGTTTCTAGGAAATTTACAATTGATAAATCCACGGGACAACTAGCCATTTAACTCAGATAACAAACTGACCACAAATTATATCAGATTCCTTGTTTTGCCTCTTTGTTATTAATGACATGGTTATTCAGTGTAGCAATATTATATTTGAACATTATGCGTTGTTTCTGGTGGAACTGTTTTCAGGGAAATGGAGTAGGTGCCAAATGATATACAGGGCTGTGGCCATATTGGTAAGAGGTAGGTAAAAAGAGCAGGGATGCTACTTGAGACATTTGCAAAAACAGTGAGAGAAGGCTATGTTGTCATATGATAAGGTCTAATAATTCAGCTGGTGTCTGATCATGTTGCAGTTTCTTCCACTGACTAGTGGTGGTGGTTCGCACCTGACAAATCAGACATCCAAGATTGAAAGTTTCCTTTCTGACCTAGAATAATCTTACATATATTAGAAGGCATGAACAACACTTCAAATCACTGCACGTAATTGCTAGCAAATAGAGTAGAATCATATGTGCTGAACTCTTTGCCAAGTAAAAGATATCAGAAATACTTTCTCTTTTTTAAACACTGCAAAAAGTCCATTAACTTTAGATCTTTCCATCATTTTTAAGACTTCAAATTTTGTGTAACCTGTCCCCCTGTAAAAAAATTTTTTTGCTGTAGGTGAAGAAGGCAAAATGGTACATGCTGAAGCCTTTTCTCGTCCCCTAAGTAGGAATGAAGTTGTTGGTTTAATTTTCCGTTTAACAATATTTGGTGCTGTGACATATTTTACCATAAAATGGATGGTAGATGCAATTGATCCAACGAGGAAGCAAAAAGTAGAAGCTCAAAAACAGGTAGGTCAGTAAAATATTTCTTCTTAAACATAAGAGGTGTTCAAATTGTCATTCAGGAAAACTACGGTTTGGTCATTACCTTTTATAGTCTTTCTTGTTACAAAGTATGTGAAATTCCAAGTATCTAAACAATATGAAACTTAATTTGACCTTATATGCACTTCTCTGAGTACATATTCAGCAGCAATTTGTAAAATAGAAAAACTATCTTGTTTGGAAATCTAGAATCATAAACTAGTGTATATTTTATTATGTAAAGCTATTATTATTATTATTATTATTTATTTAATTTATATCCCGCCTATCTGGACTATAAGTCCACTCTAGGCGGCTTTTAAAATAATAAAATATTATGTTTTAAAATAATATTTTATTATGTAAAACTGCTTTGTTTTTAAAAGTTTTCATAGCACGATGTGTACATGACCTCCCTGTTTGGATCAGAAAAAATTACATGTTAATACCAGCTTGTCTTCTCAGGGCAGTTGCTGTGCAAAACTACATTCCATGATGTAGCATGTAGGTAATCTAACCAAGCAGGATTGGTATGGGTCATTTGGCCTTTTAAATGATGAATAACCTATACCTAGTATAAGAGACATACCCCCAATGTGATATACTACATAGAGTGATGAGCGAAGACTCAGGAGATCTGAGTTTGAATCTCTGCTGAGCCGTGGAAGTTCATGAGGGTGGAATAGGGAAACTATTCCTTAAGTATCCAACTTGCCTTGAAAACCCCATTAGAGTTGTTATGAGTCAGTTCTGACTTGACAGTACAGTACATAACATACAGTACCTGAGGTCAAATGCTCATTTAGCTGTAAAGATCAGTGAGTCAGGTTTAACCAGCCACTATTTCTCAAACTGTCCTAGCTTATAAAGTTGGTTATTATAAAGTAGAGGAAGACTCTGAGCTTCTTGGCAGGAAAGCAAACAACTAAAATGAATTAATGGTTAAAACACTCTTACCAGGCTCTCCAGTCACTGCTTGGAAAAGAAAGAAAGGATATGCCATTGTAGAGTGGTAAAGTGTTCCTTTGGGCCTTCATTTACCACACTGTAGTGCTGCCCAGATCTACCTCTCCTTCAGCCTTAGCAACTTCAGGCATTTCTAAAGTCCATTGTTGCACAGGGTAGCTGCAGTTTAGCACCTGGTGAGAACTCTTATCATAGTATACTGCAAGCCCTTGGCCGGAAACTGCTGCAACTGACTGCAGTGTTAATACTCCTTGTAGGCTCCTAACCCATTAGCATTATTAGAGTTTATATGTTGGAGACCCCACACCAGTACAGTAAAGGACTTATGTGAATCTTACCCTAAGCTAAAAGGTTTCCCTGATGTTTCATTTAAACCTTCCATTTTGATAGATATCATGAATAATTCTCTTTCCCAGTCACAATAGAAACCTGTCTACCATCTTGTTGAGCTATTTCTAAAGCAAATGTTTTGTTGTTTAGTTGTGTCCGATTCTTCATGACCCCATGGACCAGAGCATGCCAGGCGCTCCTGTCTTCTACCCTGACCCAGAGTTTGGTCAGATTCATGTTCGTAGCTTCAGTGACATTGTCCAACCATCTCATCCTCTGTCGTCCCCTTCTCCTCTTGCGTTCACATTTTCCCAACATCAGGGTCTTTTCCAGGGAGTCTTCTCATGATATGGCCAAAGTATTGGAGCCTCAGCTTCAGGATCTGTCCTTCCAGTGAGCACTCAGGGTTGATTTCCTTTAGAATGTATAGGTTTCCTTTCTTTGCAGTCGAGGGGACTCTTAAGAGCCTTCTCCAGCACCACAATTCAAAAGCATCAATTCTTTGGCGGTCAGCTTTCTTTATGGTCCAGCTCTCGCTTCCATACATCACTACTGGAAACACCATAGCTTTGACTATGTGGATCTTTGTCAGCAGGGTGATGTCTCTGCTTTTTAAGATGCTGTCTAGGTTTGTCATCGCTTTTCTCCCAAGAAGCAGGTGTCTTTTAATTTCATGGCTGCTGTCAGTGATCAGGGAGCCCCGGAAAAGTAAAATCTGTCACTGCCATCCATATCTTCCCCTTCTATTTCCCAGGAGGTGATGGGGCCAGTGGCCATGATCTTAGTTTTTTTTATGTTGAACTTCAGACCGTTTTGCACTCTCCTCTTTTACCCTCATTAAGAGGTTTCTTAATTCCTACTCACTTTCTGCCATCAGAGTGGTATCATCTGCATATTGGAGGCTGTTGATATTCCTTCTGGCAAACTTAATTCTGGCTTGGGATTCCTCTAGTCCGGACTTTCGCATGATGTATTCTGCATATAAGTTAAATAAGCTGGGGGACAATATACAGCCTTGTCCATTCTTTGGGATTGGGATATAGACTGATCTTTTCCAGTCCTCTGGTCACTGCTGAGTTTTCCAAACTTGCAAACTCTTTTCCAACAACACAAGAGGCGACTCTATACGTGGACATCACCAGATGGGCAATTCCGAAATCAGATTGATTATATTCTCTGCAGCTCTGTACAATCAGCAAAATCAAGATCTGGAGCTGATTGTGGCTCTGATCATCAACTTCTTACAGCAAAATCCAAGCAAATGTTAGATTACAGTATAGAGATGTATACTTGAGTGAAATGCCCTCCTATACTGAAGGAATAACTAAGAACCACCCATTCATCCCTGGACGTCTATCAATAGCATCTACATAACTAAATCACAGTTGAACAGAGTTTACCTTTAAAAAGGAGCCATTTTTTTCTAGTGTGATGACGCATTCTGATAAAGTCATAGGAAAAGTGTCATACATATATAAAGATTTAGAAGACTATTGACCTGCTTTGTTTGCTTTTGCAGTTGCAGATTGATTTAAGGGATTGTGTTGCTTTTTATTAAAAAGCATGAAAACTATGCTAACTATATTCTAAATGTGCTTTATCTTGGGTTTCCCCGCTAAAGTTGTTATATGTTATATGTGAGATACAGATACATTCTTCAGAAGTTTCCTTTCATACGTTCTTATAGTAAAAAAGACTTTATTTCTTACCTCCAACTTGGTTAACACAAAACTGGGGACACGGGGGCACGATTAGTTTCTAGAATCCTGGATTAATCCTTGCTTTAGAAAAACAGGCAGCCTCCTGGCTTTTTGTTTTAATAGGGTGTTAATATCAATGACAAAGAACAGTGAACTTGTAAAAGGTAAAAGGAGAAAAATCGGTTCATATGCCACAGTGGAGTATCTAGAGGTAGAGAATAAGTAGTCCCAAACCAATTGCTTTGTCCTACTAATTGGCTGCTTAATGTCAAATTTGTTGCATTGTCTCTATAGAGTAGGCAGGGAGGAGGGTAATGGAGAATAGGTTGGGAGAGTAAGGGAGAGGGATAATCTTCCATCTTCCCCTCTAGCATATGTGCTACTATTGTGATTTCTCTGTGAAAGGTGGTTGAGTTGTGTTGCCACAGAATCCTTCTTCAGTATTGTTTTTAAAACGGAAGAAGTAGCCACTTTCAAGGCTGTGTTTGGCTGTATTATGATCTGATCAGAAGTTGCTTTCTTGTTGAAATGATTCTATATAAGTCTTGGACAAAGATTGAAATAGTTTTGGGAAATGTCTTGTTTTATCATGGGAAGACCCTGAATTCATGTTTCCTGCTGAACATTTCTCACTAGAAAGGTTCATTTTAACTACATATGGGTTGCTGTATTGCGACATGAAAATGTGAAGCTTTGGTTTTCACATCATTTAATGTACATTTCACTGAGCATTAACATTCCCCTTTAACACCCCCAAATATTAACTAAGATATAAAATGATACATAACTGTATGCTGGTGCTTTTTTCTTTATAGGCAGAGAAGTTAATGAAGCAAATAGGAGTGAAAAATGTCAAGCTTACAGAGTATGAAATGAGCATTGCTGCACATCTTGTAGATCCTCTTAGCATGCATGTAAGTGTCTTCCTATTACCCGCCTTATTCTTTTTTATTAGTAAAATAACTTTGGAGAGAAAGTAAAGTGTACTGTTTGAACTGAAGTATGTTGATGTTATATTCATGCATATTTGCACTTTAATAAATCGAGTTCTTCTAACTTGGGCAGCCTAGGGATATATCTATTATAAATTTCTCAGTGGGGTTTGAGAACCGGAAAGCAATTTACTTCTGGCAGTCAATGCTTTTATTTTCAATTACTATCATAATTTGAGCTGGAAAATGTGTCAGTGTTCCAAATCAGTGTATCCCAACCTGGGGTACGAAGCAAGATATATTGAATAATGGCAGAAAAAGGCACATCCATTGAGAGTGTAACTTGCCCGTCAATTTCTTCCTTCTCTCCCCACCCACCACGTGAGAGCTCAGCCAATAATCAGCTTTCACTCAAAACTTTGTCATTCTTGTTCTGTTACTAAGTTGTGGGGTTATGCTCCCTGCTCCTTTCTCGTTGACAAGCAGTTTGTACAGGACAAAATTCTTTACAGTTTTTAACCCCTTCATTGACTCATGCATTCAGCCAGAGGCAAAGAAGAAGTGGCTTGAAGAGGAAAGAATGGAAAGTCCCCTCCTAGCCTCACCCCTTAATATGAAGAGTACAATTTATGGAAATGGGTTGCCAAGGGGCTTGCAAATGAAAAAAAAAGTTCTAACTACAGTGGTGCCTCGCATTACGATGTTAATTCCTTCCAACGAAATCGCTGTAGAATGAAAACATCGTAAAGCGATTTTTAAAAGCCCATAGAAACGCATTAAAGCCCGATTAATGCGTTCCTGTGGGCTTGAAACTCACCGTCCAGCGAAGATCCTCCATAGCACAGCCATTTTCGCTGCCCGTGCAGCGAGGAATCCGTCCCAGAAAACAGCGGGCGGCCATTTTTTAAACCCGGTGGCCATTTTGACACCGCCGATCAGCTGTGTGAAAATCGTCGTTTTGCGATAATTGCTTAGCGAAGCAGGGAACCGATCATCGCAAAGCAAAATTTCCCCATAGGAAACATCGTTTTACAATCGCTTTTGCAATCACAAAAATTTCTTCGTTATGCGATTTCGTCGTAAAACGGAGCACTCGTCTTGCGAGGCACCACTGTAATGGTTATCTGATTTAGTATTTGACATATTTTTACTTGAAAAAACACACATTTTCCCCTCAGTAAACACATAAAATATCTCATTCAGTAAACAGAAGAACTAAAAGTGTAATCCATGTCAAATTTTTGTGCACAATAAGTATCTTAAATATAACTGTTCAACAGGAGGTACAACATATTTGAACTGAAATATTTGTATAGAGAAACATTAGGTCAACCACGCACTATAACTTAAATGTTATATTCATGTACATTCACAGCTTTAAGTGCCACGTAGTAGTCTTCTTTTTTAGTATTATGACAGCTCAAAATAACCACAAGCACTAGATGACTGATAAATCTTACGCAAATTATTCTTATTCTCACTTCCCAAGCTCAAAAAAAGGAAATTTTCATAGGTAATTTCTTGAAAAAAATGGAACAACAGTAACAAATGTAATTTCAATTTTTCCTTCAGTTCATCATTGAAGTATGTTAGCAATATTTTATTTATTTATTATATTTACATACCTCCCATCTAGAACATGTCTACTCTGGGCGGTTTATGTACTGGGTAAATACACCATGTATAAGTGTAATCTAGACTTAGCCAGGAGCCAGCTGCATTTTGCTTGGGTAGTGATTGTCATGCTTTATTTTTCAGTTCCCCATAAGCAATTAAGCTCTAGAATTTGTCAATGCTTGCCCTAGAAGAATAACTTATAAAAGCCCATATCTTCTATTTATCCTATCTAACATGATCGATTACAGTGCAACAGCAACTATGGGTAAATGCAGACATATGTGGTGTGAACATTTTTCTATGGAAAAACGCAGCGTTGGAAAATTTTCCATTTTGCTTATATGCATTTCCTACTGAATGTGCTCATAAGACTTTTGTGATTAGAGGTCCTGTCATATCACAGCTTCTATTCACAGAAACACTGAAAACTTCTTTGGCTGAATACACTTGCAGTGGCCCTGAACAAGCAAAGGTCAGCTAGCCTTCTAGGTTGCTTAGGAGAGGGGCTTATGTGTATGTCTGTGTCCTCGCCAAACTGCAAGCACTAGCTGGATTCGGGCTTCCAACCTTCAGTAAGGCTATTCTCTGTTTATCATGTCAGATAAAAGCTTTTAAATCTTTGAAAACCAACTACAGTGGTACCTCGACTTACGAACTTAATCCGTTTTGGAATGGCGTTCATACATCAAAAAGTTCGTAAGTCGAAGTCCCATTTTCCATTGAAATGCATGGGAACGGAATTAAACTGTTCCAGCATTTCAAAAATTTACCAAAATAAAAATAAACCAAGCAAGTCCTGTGCTGGGACTGCCAAAAAATCAAAACAAACACACACACACACACACACAAAACACCCCAGTCCAAACTCACCGTCCAAAACCCACCCAGAACAAGTTTTTTTAGGAAGGACTTACCAGTCAGAAGCCTCCCGGTGCTCCATTGCCTCCGCCACAGCCGGGGGCGAGTGTCCAAGCACCCGGCCAGCTCAAGCCACCCAGTGTGCCTCTGCCACAGCCACGGGGGGAGCGGGCAAGCGCCTGGCCGGCTGACCGCTGTCTCCAATTACGGCGGTTGACTGTATGATGAAAATCAGTGCCATAAGAAAAGTATCAGAAACCCTATTGCTGTTTTGGTTGGGGTTTTTTTAAGCTCTTCTGTTTTACAGTATCTCAAATATGTGCATAATTTTACAACAAGACATTAAGTGTCAGAATTAGACATGGGGACGAACATAAAAATGAATCAGGATATTTGTTAAATATCCCTGATTCGTCAGATATTTGTTGCTTTGTATTCAAAGACCCCATCAAATATCCAGAGACCCCAACAAATATAAAGCAATGAATATAACCCCTTTTATATTTGTCCCTTCGTTCCCTATCTGCTTATGCCCCCGTGGGTCAGCTGTTCCTCAGGGGCATAAGCAGAGAGGGATTTTCCCTTCGGGCAGCTTGCTAAAGCCTGCCCAAAGGGAATCCCACCTCGCCCCCAGGGCTGGGGGATGGCTTGGTTCCCCTTTCCTCCTCTTCCTATGCCTTTGTGGCATAAAAGTGGAGGAAGGGATCAAAGGGGGTCCCCCAGCTGCTGTGGGATCGCTTTGATCCCTGCTTTTCCTCTCCTTTTGATAAGCCCCAAGGGGCTTATCAAGTGGAGAGGGGAACAGGGATCAAAGTGCTGCACTATTAGGGGCTTATCAAGTGGAGGGGGAACAGGGATCAAAGTGCTGCACTATTGCTTTGATTACTGCTTTCCCCCTCCTTTTCCTAAGCCCCGGGGGGCTTAGCAAGTGGAGGGGGAAAGTAGGGATCAAAGCGCTGCAGGAATTTACGCTGCAGCCTGGCAGGGCTTAGCAAGTGGACAAGTGGAGGGCGAAAAGAGGGATCAAAGCACTGCAGGATCACTTTGATCCCTGCTTTCCCTCTTGTTGAAGGAAAGCAAAAAAAAAAAAAAAAACTGACAAATGAATTGATTCATTGTTCCTTGGGTCATGGGGAGGGCGATTCGTGCTTCATGGGTCATCAAGTTTGACAACCCATGAAGCAAGATAAAGCACCATTTTTGCGCTTTGTCCCCATCTCTAGTCAGAATGTATCTACCATTCTCAATTTCTTTGTACACTTGAGAATGTGGCTGCTTCTTGATGACTTTATTATATGTATTTGTCCGTCTGTAATTATTTCACTTTTTATGTGCCACATTTCCTCTAGGAATTTATGCCAAGTGACATTCATAGCTCTCCCCTCCCTCATGGTGCTCACAACAACACAGCAAAATAATTTAAGATAAAATGGTGTGAGAAAAGACCTCAACCTTGGTGTCCCTGTGCTCCCAAACACCCCAACGATTACATCACATGGTCTGTCACTCTAATTTTTTAAAGCCTTTATTTGTGCCTTAGGTAACATGGAGCGACATTGCAGGTTTAGATGATGTTATTACCGACCTGAAAGACACAGTTATCTTGCCGATCAAAAAGAAACATCTGTTTCAGAACTCCAGGCTCTTACAACCTCCAAAAGGTAGGTATGGATAGATGCAAGATGATGAGTTCTTGGCTTTGAGCTTGTGAAGAAAAGAGGAGTTGAAACTGTGGAAAATATCCCTCTGCCAGTCCAACTTAAAAAGCCAGAAGATCATGTATGAAAATGGGAACTGTGTTAGATGACAAGATTGCACCAGCCCTATTTACTCCACTGTTCTATTCAGAGAGCTGCCAGCAAGTTCACATTGAGGTCCTTAAGCATTCTTGGACAGATAACCTTTGGTCTCAATGGTTATTTTTCCAGTTGGTCATTAGGGGCTTAATCTCTTCTTTAAAAATAACCAAAAATTTTAAGCCCTTGTTCTTAATGCTTTTCGTTAATAGTATTAAGCCAGATATCTATGCTTCATCTTCAACAGTAAAGTTAGACCACAAATGCCTAATTTCTCTGCATCCTCCTCCTCCTTTGGTGTTCTTTTGATTGTTCTCACCTAACAGTCTAGCTGCCTCCCTGAACTTAAATACCTGTATTGAAAACTTGAGTACAGATTTCGATATGTAAGGAAAGGTTTTTAATATAGTTGATCCTTATTTTATGTTGAAAATCTGTTTTTACATCCCTTATTGTCTGTGCTTGCTTGTGTGAGAGGGAGTTTGTTCTTTCTTTTTTTAAATATCCATTTTTGGGCACAACTTCTCTGCCCCAAAGTCCCAATTCCAGATGATTTTGTCCTAATAACCAGACATGGCTTTTTCTCCACAGAAATGTGAGGAAAATAAGATACATTTCTAATTTCTAACCTATTCCCTTCCACAGTTGAGATTAATGGGAGCAGTACCAGCCTAGCTTGGAATTATAATACTTGGATAGTATTTAATAGGCCATCATTTGGTTTACAGTGAAATCTCTAAGGTGTCTCACAGTAACAGGTTAATATAAGCAACAGTAACAGTGCAGTAGTTAGTGGCCTAAAAAGACTGTGAATCCTTGATAAATAAGAATTTCATCTAGAGTTGAAAACACCAAAAACCCTGTGACGGTCAAGCCTCTCTCACATGAAATGCATTCATTGGAAAATAATGTATTTAAAGTTTTAAAATATATTTTAGATAGAGTGTAAAAAAACTTATTTGTGAAAAAAATGCACATCTCGCAGCCCTTTTAAATATGTTTTGTTGAAACTGAGGCCTAATTCTGCCTGTGGGAGCTAATTCCATTCAACTCTGAGACTTACTCCTAATAAGAGTGTTTTCATATTGGATTGACTCCCTAGTTTTTCTTCCAATTAAGCCATGACAATGTTGACTTCTTCCCTATTTCAATGAGGTCATGTTTGTTTATTTTAATAATGACATCCCAAACAGAGTTGCATGTTGAGGATTCATTAGATAAGGGAGCAGCAATGCGGATATTGAATATGTGACTGAACTTTAAAACAGTCTTATTAAATGTGACTGTGTAGGTTTGTAGGCTGTCTCTGTCACACTGAGCAGCAATAAAGTGTTAATAATATGTTGTTTTTTAGGAGTACTTCTCTACGGCCCTCCAGGCTGTGGTAAAACGTTGATTGCCAAAGCTACAGCAAAAGAAGCAGGTTGCCGATTTATTAATCTTCAACCTTCAACGCTGACAGACAAATGGTATGGGGAGTCTCAGAAGCTAGCAGCTGCAGTTTTTTCTCTGGCTATGAAGCTTCAACCCTCCATCATCTTTATTGATGAAATAGGTAAAATAATACATAATTTCTCTATAGTCATTGAAAAGCATTGCTTTGGAGTTTTTTCAACTACTTGCAATTGGTCCTGAAGGATAACCATTTACAGCAGAAGACATTGTAAAGTCATTGTTTCACAGAAGCTATTGAAGATTAGGAAATGTTTTAGTAGTACATTTTACCTTGAAAAAGCAGAAAATCTTTACGGTTAGAATTTAAAATTAGAACTTTGTGAGGAAGAATATGGTACTGTTTGTAAGCTTATGTTGATATAGTACAAGGATGGATGGATCAGCAGAGTTCTCTCACCCACTTCAACCTTGGTTTATTTATATCCACTGTGAAATGCCAGATTCAGTTGTAAGAGGCACACTGATATGTTATGCAAACCTGAACCTTTGGAGGAAAATACAGCTTGGTGTACAACTTAATATAAGTATAAGCCAATCACAAGTGTTTTAGACTAAATAGAATTTTGCGCGCAAATAGGTGTATAAATCATATACAGTGGTGCCTCGCTTAGCGACGCAAATAGGTGTATAAATCATATACAGCGGCGCCTCGCTTAGCGATGTTAATTCGCTCCAAAAAAATCACTGCTAAGTGATTTCGTTGCTAAGCGAAATGTGTTTTCCCATTGAAATGCATTGAAAACCGGATAATCCGTTCCAGTAGGAACGAATTGCCATCCTTAAGCGAAAATCGCCATGGGAAACATTGCTAAGCAAAAAGCTGTTCCCCAATTGAAATACATTGAAACCTATTCAATGCATCTCAATGGGGTGAAAAAATACAACAGCTAATTAAAAAAGAGTCAGAACAAAGTCAAATTTGATTAACAAAGGGTTTATTAAGTGCACTTTATGATTTCAAACATTTTAAACAGTAAACTTTAACTTTATAAATAACAGAAAAACATTTAAAAAACAGCAAACATGAGGCTGTTTAAACCATCGTTAAGCGAAACAGGGGACCCAAAATTTAATCGCTATGTGAAGCATGGTCCCTACCATCGCTAAGCAAAAATCACCCATAGGGACCATCGCTAAACAAAGCGCAAAAACGCTTTGAAAAAGTCGTCGCTAAGCGATTTCGTTGTTCCGATTTCGTCGCTAAGCGGAGCGCCCGTTAAGCAAGGCACCACTGTATTGAATTGGATGGTGTCTGTATCTTACAAAAGCCAACCAGGGGAATAAAGCAAATTTTATACAAAGATAATATAAGTTCTGTGTTCAGGATGAATTAAAATAAAGTCTCTATGCACCTGTGTGCATCCTGTTTGCCGCACCTCCCTTCGTGTAAAGAAGCAGATAAGCTAGAATGCAGCAGTTAATCCTTGAGTTCTAGTACCTCTGAGCCAGGAAACCATGATTGATGGCTTCCAAGCAAGCCAGAGTAAGAAGCTGTGGCTTTAAAATAGGCTTCTGAAGCTTATGGACCTGTAAGTAGTTCATAAGTTCTAACCATTTGTTAGAATCAGTAGAGGGGTTTCTTACACTTACTAACTTCATTCTTTGTGAAATGAGAAGCTTTTTAAAAAGAGAACGTGATTATTGGCAGAATGTATTCTGTTAGGCAAAAATGTGTTCTTTAGTAGTGATGCTACTTCATAGATTTGATAGGATCCTTTATTTTTAGGATGACTTATTCTAATCCAGGGGTCTCAAACATGCAGCCCGGGGGCCATTTGTGACCCACCGGATGATAGTTTGTGGCCCCCGACTTGCCTTCCCCCCCGAAGTGTCCACACATCCTCTGTTGTCCAGAGTAAAAAAAGCAGCCTTGCCTCGCTCGCCGGCTGTCTCACAAGACATCGCCTCTTGCATCCTCCATCCAGAACTGCAGCCTGCCTGCTGTCTTGGGGGAGCCGGTGAGTGAGGCATGCTGCCGGCCCTTTTCCCTGAGCACCCAAGCTGCCGCCCAGCGATGCCTGAGAGCAGAACTCACTCCCAGCCCGTCCTCAAAGAGGACCTCTAAGCCGCCAATAGCAGCTGCCCCCGCCGCCACCTCTTCCAGGGAAGCAGCTCTCGGGCTCTCTTTCTCTCTCGGCACCCCCAGCACCAGCCTGGCCAGCGGCCACCTCAGCGCCCGGCGGTGCTTCCTCCTCCTCCTCGTCCTGCTTCAGCCGCCTCGGCTCTGGAGGCTGCCTGGGCTCGCCTCGCAAAGTTTACTCCTCTGTCGTGGTGGGGGTAGCTGCTGCTGCTGAGTGCGCCTTTTTTTGAGGGGGGCTCAGAGGAAGGTTGCCAGACCTGCATGTGTGTGTGTGTGTTTGTGTGTGTGTTTATGGAGAGCCCCACCCCGTTCTGTTTAATTTTGCGGGTACTGATGGAGGCTTTTCTCCTTTGGCAAGGCGATTCTTTGAGTTTTTTTTTATTTTTAAAATTTTATGTCGTGCCCGCCCCAGCTAGGCGGTTGCCGGCACTCTTTTTTAAATTTTATGTCGTGCCCTCCCTGCCCCAGCTAAGGTGGTTGCCGGCACTCCCTCTCTTCTCTGCTTCTTGGTCCTGCTGCTGGTGGTGGTGGTAGTGGAGAAGGAGCCGGAGGGAGTCGTGGCCAGTGACGAGGGCTCGCACACCCTTCCTCCTCCTCCTCCTCCTTCTCCTTGGAGCCCCAGCTGGGCTAAGGAAACCCTGGGTGGCTTCCTTGGGCTCTTGCTCCACTTGGCGGAAAATCTGATGAGGCCCAGCCTCACCCAGATTCTGCCTTCAGCGGCCCCCAGGAAAATTGAGTTTGAGACCCCTGTTCTAATCTGAGGGAACAATTCTTTTATATCTAGAAAAATGGCCAGTGCACTAGCAACACTAGATGAGAAGGCTGTGTTTATATGATGAATCATGGACAGGATTGGCCAGTGTAGTATTCTCTTGACTGGGGTTTCAGGGAGCTACTTTGATTACATTCAAGAGCTTAAGCATGTCCAGTTAGATTTTTGGTTTTAGATCACAGGCTTAACATGCTATATCCCAGAAGTGACCTGAGTGTTATGTGATGCTTGTGTTAAAATCCACCCAGTTCACAAGTGCATTTTCAAACCAACAAAATCTCATTCATTCTGCCCCTTCCCAATCAGTGGCTGAAGTGTGGTAGTAAATTTCAGCTAGAGTAGGCTCATTGCGTGAATGGAATTTGCACAGGTGTTGACACACTGATTCAGTGGATCTCTTCTAGTTACAGCTTACTAATGGATTTTCGTGAATGCCTGTAATTTGAATGTTTCCAAGTTTAATGGCATGTAGCCTGAGTTGTACCTGCAATGCTTAGCAATTCTGAAATTGTCATTAATAAGCCAAAAATGCCACACCCTGGGGTGGGCAATTGTGATCTTCCTGATCCAATGGAACAGCTGCTCCCATCAGCCATATGCTGGCTAGGGCTGACCAAAGGGGGAATTCAAGAGTACCTGGAGTATCTCAAGTTGCCTTTTCTTGTTCCAGGGTAGGAACACAGATCCTCATGCACATGTTTTATTAAAATTCAGATTCTTTTCTACGGAGTCGTTCAAGCTCTGATCACGAAGCCACTGCTATGATGAAGGCCCAGTTCATGAGTCTCTGGGATGGTCTGGACACTGACTACAATTGCCAAGTAAGTAACCACTTTTGTGACTCTCTTTTTTTTTAAATTTGGTTTTTAAAAATTCAACCATGGAGCACTTTGGAACATGGGAATTTGCTTCATATTGAAGTAATAAGTCTCTCTTGACCAGTATTATCAACTCAAATGGACAGCTCCCCCCCCCTCACCAAGAGATCCCTGTACTAGATTTCAGCAGAAACAGAAATGTAGTTGAAAAAGTCGACTATAATCCACACAGGCTTGCCCTGAAATACACCTGTTAATCATGAAGGTACCTCACACTTTTCCTCTTTTTGTTTTGGCTTTTTCTTGTGTTTTATAAACAAAAGGTGTTAGAAACAAAAGGTCTCCCATCGAAGTACTGACCAGGACCAGCCCCCCCCCCCCGCCTTTCAAATGCTGCATATAGTATCTTCAGTTCCCTTGGCAATCTTAGAGAGGTTCCTGCAGGCGAAACGTCAGGAAGAACAACCTTCAGAACACAGCCAAAGAGTCCGAAAAACCCACAACAACCATTAGGTTTCTGCAACTTGGGCACAAGGAAACAGTGTCGTCCCTGAGCTTAAGGAAGGTCAAGGACGTTTGTTTTGGATTATGTTGCTGATGAATCTTGAAGCAAAGATTTTCTACTTTTTCCCTTAAAAACCCTATTTAGGTGATAGTGATGGGAGCCACCAATCGCCCTCAGGATCTTGACTCTGCGATTATGAGAAGAATGCCTACGAGATTTCATATCAACCAACCTGTAAGTCACTGAAAATTAATGGCAGTAGGTTTTGCCCCACAGACTGCATATTAGATACATTAGCCCATCTCCTTGATTATCTGTTTTATAGCAAATTTTTTGTAGAATTACTGTTGTTTCTTTTGTAGGCCACTTTCTATGGAATGGGTGCCTAAAAGAACCTTCAGCATGTTAATACAATTATACTGCAAAAAATAAAGTAGAAAGAAGAACAGCTGACATAATAATAAAAGCAGAATCTCAACAATTTAGAACCATCAGTGGTATACAGTAACCAACATGCCTGCAAGGAAAACCCAAACAATTCCAAGCCAGAGGTGAACAAAACATTGAAGTCTAGTGACATAGAAATTCTGATTAAAGCAGGGCTAAGTGGCATTATTGAGGAAGAGAAGTTCTGCAGCCCAAAAAAATAAAAATCCTAATACGTTATTTCTACCAATAGCTTGCTATCAAGCATTATGACTTAAACTGGCAAATGACCTCAGCAGCCAGGAAATACAAAGAATCTTTAGATGTCCGCTTGGCAGGCAATTTATGAAGCTTAAAGATAATGACCAGAACTTTTGAATTTGGCTTGGATGCTATTCAGGAGCCAGTGTCATTTGGAATACATGATTCCATTTCATCAGTCTCTGTGGCTGGCATCTCCAGAGGGCAGGGGGTTTCTAACTCCTGTCCTCTGAAGATGCCAGCCACAGAGACTGGCGAAACATTAGGAAATAAACAACCTTCGGAACATGGCCAAATAGCCCAAAAAACCTACAACAACCATCAGATCCCAGCCATTAAAGCCTTCGCGAATGCATTAAGTTCTAATGCTTCATCCAGCAGGAAGGAGTAGAGGGAAATCAAAAAAAGGAAAACTCACATGGAGTATAAAGGTAGATTTGCTTGAAGCGTCGCCTATATGTACATAGACACTACATTCCACCAGCTTGTAATCCTGGGAAAGACCCGTATGCCATGAATTGGAATTCTGCAACATCACAGTGTCTTGCCATTCAGTATTACACAGGATATAACCAGGAACCTGTCTGGATATTGATGAGAATGTGGTTGCATTATGCTTACTATGTAATTAATAGTAATGTGGATTATTTATTTATTTATTTAAAGGCACTAAGGCAAAGAGAAGCAATCCTGAAACTGATTTTGAAAAATGAAAATGTAAGTCAGGTTTTTTTATAAAAAAAGGACTCTTTCTGATGTAACATTACATGAATATGTTTTGATGCCATACTATTCTGTTGAAAAATAAAGGATTCTTGGTAGCAAAAGGGTGGTTTAAATACACTTGGCTAACTAATTGGTGTTTTTTTCTCTATAGCAGCCATCAGTTAAGCTAAACAGATTTGGCTGGATTGTACCTCTGTAGCCTTTTATTATTTACCATAGCTCAGATTAGAATATAGTCAAGTGTGATAATTATCTTAATCTGTCTCTGTCTGAATGATTCTTTTCTACATGTAAAATGGTCTCCTATCCTTTTTTTGCTGCCAGGTGGACAGGCGTGTGGATCTCCTTGAAGTTGCTAAAGAAACAGATGGGTTCTCAGGAAGTGACTTAAAAGAAATGTGCCGAGATGCTGCACTACTGTGCGTCAGAGAATATGTTAATTCTTCCTATGATGAAAGGTATATTTTACTTAAGCTACAAAGGTTTTCAGGACGTGAAATCCAGTATCCTTTTTTGCAGCTGTTTTTGAGCAAAAGGCACTTCAGATTAGCTGTGCACACCTAGTCATAAGATGCAATTTTATCCCCCTTTCCCATAAAAACATTAATCCTTACAGTGGCTAAAATAAAAACAAACAACAAACCCATTAATATCATTAAACAACAAACCACTAAGATCAGTAAATATCAAAATAGTTTAAAAGGCCAGTGTCTTCATACCGTTCCTAAAAATCAGAGTGTGAAGAGGTTTTTTTAACTCTTCTTGAGTGCCTGTCAGATAGGCCACAAGCAGAGTGAGTATTTTCAAGGGGGCTTTCTTGAACCTATTACGGTCTGGATATATTCATAATGAGATAAGCAGTTGTTTAGATAACAGGCACAAGAAGAGCGAAGGAGGATGTAAGAATTGTCATCCCTGTTCCCACACCTCCTCTGGTGTACTTGTAATGCAAGAGCAGGTTGCTTACCTGTTTTCAAGGCAGGATGAAGGAAGAGCATATCTGTGAGTTTCTCACTGGTTATCACAGAGCACAAAGCAGAAGAATTGAAACACATATAGGAATAAGACTACTCAGAAACTCATTTGTATTGTGGACTGAATCCAATTGTTAGTCCAAATTAGAGTAGACCCATTGAATGAATGAAAATGGTTAATTAACATGAACACAGGTTTTACATATTGACTGAAATCCTTTTGCTTAACTTAAGCCAGACCATACCTTTTGATATATTCATCCCTGGTAAATGACCCATCCTCACCAGGGCGCGCACTCCCATTCCACAAGGTAACATAGACACCTCTGAGAATCGCAGCAGTGGCGGTTTGTTTACCCATGTAAAATGAATTACAATTTGTGATTTGGCTTATACAAGCAATAAGCTTTGGCCTTTGATTCAGTGAGTCCACTGTGGTTGAAAGTAACAATGGATTTAGCTTTTGGTATGTGGGATTTTAATATTATATGTGGCCTGGGGTGGGTGGGTGTTATTTTCTTTTTAAAAGTCACTATAGCATATGAATCACCTTTCCATTCTTTGTTTTCTCTTTTTTAAAAAAAAAAAAGTAATGAAGATGATGAAATTCGACCAGTACAGCAGAGAGATTTGCAACGAGCAATTGAGAAAATGAGGAAATCAAAGGATGCAACAAACCAGAGTGTTCTAATGCACGTTAGTTTAGATTAAGGTTAAGCAGTGTTCTTCTATGGCCTGTGACTGGTTTTGGTGACTGGTTATGCCATTTAAATGAGGGAAATCAATTGGAAACAGAAATAACCTTTAATAATTGGTTCTGGAATTGTTTTTATATGCTGTTATCTAAGTTATTGAAATCTGGTGATCTTGCAAAGTTGGATATGGCCTCTGTGATAGATCATGACACGAAAGAATGTAGTCCAGCAGAAAAGCAATGTCCTGTTTCATTGTTGCAGCCTTAAAAGTCTGTCAGTTAGATTCTAATGTGGCACAGTGTACCTGTTAAAAGGGGAAGCAGAGCCTATGTATATATATATATGAGAGAGTGTGCATTTTTATATCTAGACATAATATGTAGATAACTTGGAACATGAAAAGCCTTTTTTTTTTACTTGTTTTCTTGGTCAAACCAAATCAGATAATTAAAGGATTCAGTGCACATTTACTTATTTTTGTGTTTTACCTTCTTGAAAAGGCAGGCGATCCGTTTCTGGAAATATCTCTTTTCCAGAAAGCAAGAAAACCTAGCCTCTTTTTTTCTCAATTTAATTCATGGGGTCCACTTGTGCCATCAGTTTAGCGAGAAACCATATGTAAGGATCATGAACCATTTGGTTTTGTAGGAATCTGATCAGCGCTAAGTTATATTCTTTTAAAGTATTTTTTTATTATTATAGTCAGAATTAACCATTGTGTAATACCAGCAACTGCATATTTCCAAAATTTATTTTTCTATTTCCGAACTGTGAATAATTTCATTTCTTTAGATAGTAATAGTAGGATTGCTCTTGTTGCAAAACTTCCTTTATCGACATTGTAGGATTTGCTAGCAATTATAAATGGGCACAGCACAAAATTATAGCATTAAGCACACTGATTTTTAAATTTTGTGTGGTGTTCTTCCTACCTTAATGAACTGAACTGACTAGGCTTCTGCTGGGTCTTGCAGATGGGAATTTAATAGCACTGCAATATTCTTAATGGAGTGGTTAATAGGAAAATTTCTTCAGGGTTAATATGTTGAAGAAGTCATTTACATGCTTTGTTTTTTTTTACCTTACAATTAAAAGTTGTATACTTGTGAGGTGAAACTATCTTAACCAAAACTTTTGTGTGCACATTGCATTTAAAATTGTCACAAACATTTTTTATACAGGAATATACTAGTCATTAAAATAAACACTGAAAAACAAATATTTAAAAAAGCAACAAGTAAATGACAGATTTTAGACAATTTTCATCTCAGTTTTTAACATGATTCTGACTAATATTCTTGGAGGTGCTGGTTTGAGTATAACTGCTTTGTATAAAGCACAGAATGTTTTTGAAACATTATATGCTGACTCGTTATGGGTTACTCGGGGAAGGATAGATACAAAGGAGAGATAGTTGTCAAGTAGAAAGTGATTTTGGGTTAAGAAAAACACAGAGCAGACATAGGACATTATTCTTTTGTTTTTGAAAAGCAGATTTCATCTACTGAAGTAGCTCTTAAAGATTTCAGTTCAGTCCAGCCAGTTCAGAACTCCCTCCCTTCAAATGGCCATTCTAATGTTTCAGGGCAAGTTTGTGTGTGTCAGGTAAGTCAGTGGCCAAAATCCTGTTGCTTAGTATAGTAAATTGCACTGTAGTAGGCTCACTGAATCAGTGGGGATTTGATAAGTCAGGTCCTCCATAAATACCATTGATTCACATGGATTATTCCAACTTGTTCTTACTGTGCTAAAGTAAGTTGCAGTTAGAGCAGGCCAATTTGAATTAATGGAGCCTACAGAGGAGTTGACTTACCACATCCTTATTGATTCAGTGGCCCTACTCTAGTGCAACTTACTAGGATAAGCAATAAGATCTTGACCATTGTGTATTTGGTTTGTATGTGTACATGTGCACTGTTTTCTGTGTACATGAAGTCTACATACATGCTGGGTATACATTGGAATTTTTCTGTTTCTCAAAAGGTGGCCACAGGAAATCTCCAAACTGTTGTTGCAGTTTGCATGAGTTTAAATAACAGTTTGTGTTTGTGTGTGTGTGTGTGTTTGCATTATTTTTAAAGGGGAATGCGGTTACGGACGGTGTGTTCTTTTCTTCTGTTTCCTCTATAGAAAATTCCCATCCAACCTAAAGAGTGTCAAGGGGAAGTTCTGGAATAGATTCTGCATGTGTGTCCCTCTGGATTTTAGCCACATTGAGCGTGAGCACCGATGTGGTGCTCTTTGTTTTCATAGGTAGCATCCAGCTTATTGGATCATTATTAAAATTCTATTGAACTTACTGGATGCTTTTAAAAAGATATTTATGCAAAATAACTTTAAATGCTGGGACATCTAAGTCCATGAGTAAACTGTAACCGGCACTTGTACAGTATTAAATCTGGCAACTGTCAAGTTTTTTGATGATCCCAAGCTTCTCTGTTCTATGAGAGTGAATACCATTTTTCTGTCTCCGTACCTCTAATGTTATATTGCCTTATTCACTCAATTTCACTAAAACCGCAGAATACAAAACCAATATAAGTATGGCAACCCTTCATATAGGTGCTGGTTATTTTCACCTTTACTGTGGCTTGTAAATAGAAATGTCATACAAATAAAGCCAATTGTCAATTAACCAAGTTCCTAACAGAAATGTATGTGACCCATTTTTTAATTATAGTTTACTCCAGCAGCAAGAAACATACTTGGTATTCCTTTCTGTGATGACATTTGTTTTCCCATTTATTAATACACCCCACAAGTACAAAATTGGCCCATTTAAAGCAGTGCCAGTTTTGCCATTCATTTCAATAGGATGTATAACGGTGAGAGACTGATCTCTGTCTCTTTCATTCTCATTATCTCTCCTTCTACCCAAATAAATGCATTCACTCCTTTACCCTAGTTGGTTACAGTTCCCTATTTTTTGCAGAACAATCAAATTTCAAGACTATTTCGAAATACATTTTAAGGAAAAAAAAGGAACATGATTTGACATCTGTAGCAGCTTGGAAGACTTAAGGAGCTCCCCCCCCCCCAATTAAACAAGATACCTAGTTTCACCAATGGCTGGAATCCTGTTCTGCAACTCTGCACTTGTAAAGGCTGATGAGCTCTAGGGCTCCATTTTGACCTGGAGAAGCCTTTAATATACAAAAACTGCTGTTGCCAATCTCACCAGTGCAGTTGGTGGTGACTAGTTGATAGCATGTGTAGCTGAGTTCCAGAAATACCACACATTTAATACCTCAACACTTCAGGGAGCTCCTGCTTCATATTGTATTGTGCGCATGATGGGAGGGGAAAGGGGCTTGTTCATCTGCTATGCCAAGGACAGCCAGGTCCCAGCCTAAAGTAGTTCCAAAAGTTCAAAAAGCTTTCTTCAAACAAAATATACAACATATTCTATTTGTCTTTTCTTTCTACTATATGTTGATAAGTGAGCTTCCTTCGTTTATTTGAAGAAGCTTCACTCAGTGAAGACTGATGAAATTCTAAGATGTAAGCAACAGACAACATGCTATGTCTTAAATCCACCTGTGAGTCCAAAGCAGAGTAGAATCAGTGTAATCAGTTCCTTAATGGTAACCGGTAAATCATGAAAGTCCCATTAATTTAGTGGATCTAGTTGGGACTAGTAAGCGCAGAAGCCTCTGTGCTGCAAGATTGGAAGACCAACAGCAGTAAGATCGAATCCACGTGATGGAGTGAGCTCCCGTCGCTTGTCCCAGCTCCTGCCAACCTAGCAGTTCGAAAGCATGTAAAAATGCGAGTAGATAAATAGGTACCACCACAGTGGGAAGGTAACGGCGTTCCATGCCTAGTCGCACTGGCCATGTGAGCATGGAAACTCTACGGACAAACACTGGCTCTACGGCTTTGAGATGGGGATGAGCCCCACCCCCTAGAGTCGGACATGACTGGACTAAATGTCAAGGGGAACTTTTACCTTTTACCACTAGCATACTCTTACTTTAGATGCTATTACTTATGCAGAATTGATTTTGTTGGGTCATAGGATGGAATAACATTGCTACTATTGTTTGATAATTCTAAGCATACGTCAGAACTGCCCCCCCTGGATAATCCAAAAAGTCTAATAAATGGAATGGGGTTGGACTGCGTTTAAATATACTATAAAGCAATAAATGTGACATGATTATAGAAAAACACTAGCAACTGTTTTTTTTTCCATATGCTGTCACTGCTAAATTTGTTTTCAGGATCAAACAAGTGTATTATGACACCAATTGCTTAAGTTTAAAGGAGGGTGGGTAGGGAAATAAAACTTCAGCCTCTTTGGGAAGTCAATCCTGTCTTTATTCCATTTGTTGAGAAGATTGCTTAAGGTTGTAAAGCTGGGGATTCCCCCCTCCTCCCCCATAATGGACTAGCTGATAAATTTTAGTTGCTACTATAATGCTTTGTAAAAACAGCTAATGTTGGAATTGATGTTAATTGGAGGACAGATGGGTGGGATTTTTATCTTTCTGTGTGTGCTGTAGAAGAGCCCTGAGCCAGAGTATTTGTTTGCATTGCAGAGGAGAGGAATAATTGGCTGTTTGAATGCTGTCCAGCTGAACCTCCTTATCAGCTCCAGCAGGTATAGCCAAGGGGGAGGGACATGCAGGGAGAGATTGCACTCCAATACAGTGGTGCAATCGCGAGATGATAATCTGTTCCACTGAAATCGCTGTTTAGCTATATCATTGTCTAGCGAAAAGCATTTCCCCATTGGAATGCATTGAAACCTGTTTAATGCGTTCCAATGGGGAAGAATCGTCGTTGTCTAGCGAAGATCAGCCATAGGAAAGCCGCTTTGTGAACCGCTGATCAGCTGTTTAAATTGCTGTCTTGAGAAGCTTTGGTCCGGAAAACACCTGTTTTGCGAGCGCGGAGGAAGCTGTCAAAATCGTCATCTAGCAAAAATCGGTTTGCGAAGCAGGGACTAAACATTGTCCAGCGAAATTCCCCCATAGGAATTACTGTTTTGCAAATCGCTATAGCGATCGCAAAAAGTCAATGTCTAGCGAAAAAACTCATGCGGGGTAACTGTCTAGTGAGGCACCACTGTAATGGAAGGTTATCCTTCTCATCCAGGCTTCACAGGTTTAAGTTTCCAATCCTAAATACCCCAGTTTAGGGGATAAGTTTAGACTAATACAATAACGTCAATGTAAATTTGTATTGGATTATTATCTACATTTCCCCTTTGGTGGGGAATGACTCTGGGGCCTCAGCACGGGGAGGCCCTGGACTTTCCATGGAAAGGATTAATCTTAGAGGCTAGAGTTTTCTGTCCCCTGTCCCTCCTTTTCTTCTGCTCCTGTTCTGTTTTTCTTTTGAAAAGAATAACTATTCCTCAGACTGCCCCCCCCCCCAGTAATTCTCTTACCTCAGGGCTCCCTTTCTCTACTATCATTTAAAAGATTTCCACCAAAGTTTCCTTCATCTGCTCACAGCATACATATATGTACTCTATTTTCAGAGATCTGCTGCCTCTGACATATGGCCATGTGGACAGCACATAATCTGTTGAGTCCCCATATTCTTTGTGAGTGAAGGATTAAAATTTATCTTCACCGACATAAGTGTACTATGCCCAGTTGTTTGATTTTGTTTTGGAACAGTCAGACCTTGTGCCCTGTCTTGACTCCTTCACCCTGCAATGCCAAACTCACAAGGCATTCTGTGACTTTCCACCCTCTTAGCCCACAGCCTTGGTGGGGTCACACATAATGTAACAGGTTTTGGTTATGCAGATACAAAGATGTGCAACTGAAATGGCAGGAATGATTGAACAGAGATTTATTGATAGTAAATTTGAGTTTTAATAATAGAATACCAAATTCAGAAGACATTTTAATCAAAAGTTGTATTAGTTAAGGCTTACATTCTGGTTTTATGTCTGTAATAAATATGCTACAAAATATTACATGATACAGATGTAAAATTTAAAAGGACTAGTACAAATATAGTATTATAAGGTTAAACAAGGAAAAGAAAATATCAGCCCTATTTAAAATATTAATTAAATTAAAACAGCAAGATCATGCCTGTCTTCATGGTCCCTTCCAGAGGGCTCAATTATAAAAGGCACTTGCTAATATCCATTAGCTACCAAAGTCATAATGGGAGCCATTCACCAAGCCATGTTTAGGCTCAGTCTCTGGTGCAATTTGCATCCCATGCAACTCTCATGTCTCATGTACAGAGTGCAGGTAGCATTCTGCCCAGTGACTGCATTCATTGTCCACAAAATGTAATGATAATAACCATTTTTTAGTTCTTACGGTAATACTTTCTCCCCACTATCTGTAAAGATGATTCTTTATTCTGTAGATACTGTACAAGGAAAGCTCAATGTATCTCTTTGTTTTTCTTTTTCAGTTGAAGTGCTTGGAGGAATGATGGACACAATCCAATCCATACCCTGCTGGTTTAGTCTTCCTCCTGTGTGTAGAATGCTAACTGAGTGGGAGGGAATTCCCTCCCATTGTTGGATCACTTCATGCAGGAGAAAGGCAGGGTCTCTGTAAACAACTGGATCTTGTTCTGTGTATTGACCTTAACCTGTCATATCCATATATATGATTTAAAACAACTCTTAGGGTGAATTCCTATAGTCTGGGAGAGATGACCCAGGGGCCATTGGTCCTGGAGACTAACCATTGCTGTGGGCAGAGAGAGAATAAACTCTGAACGATGGTAGAGCTTTTGGCTCAGGGATAAAGCAGAAGTTTTCAAAGATCCTCAGAATCCTAATCTTATCCCTAGAGCTGCAGTCTCTCCCAGCCTGAAAACTGGTGTTGTACATTTCCTGCCACCAGAGGCAAAGGGAGGGAAAAAAGAAAAGGGATTTAAGAAGACCTGCCCCACATCTCTTGCCTCAGCCACTAAGTAGCAGCAGGGCTCTATACATGGGAAAACATTGTGAATAACTATTACAATAATTGGACATACAGTTCTATATTTCCTGTGTTGTGGTCAAAATTGTCCCATGCAACTTGGCAAACTTTCAGTACTAGGCATGAAAGTGAATTGCAGCCATTAGTCCAAGTGATTAAATAGTGCAGAATTAAACCTTCATTTAGAAGCACCTTTTAGAATACTGTAGCTATTGACTTCAATGGAGCTTTCTACAATGTGTTGCATAGCTTTTCTCTCAAATTTTTTGCTTTTTTAAAATGCTTTGTTCTAACATTGTTCTGGGCTAAATCCAATGCTATGCTGACAAAGCATTCTTCCCCATATCACTGTTAGCTGTATGAACCTCCCCCCCCCAAAAAAAAAACAGTTGCAGGGGTTCCAAACCACCTAGATCTCTTTTGGGGGGGATTAGACTGCAGTGGGGGATGCAAGTTGCTGCCTCCCCAGTACCATAGGACCAGCAGGAATCCATGTTAGATACTGGCCACTGATTTTAAATGTTTATGTATACCACATTGGAATCAAGTTTTAGATGAAGGTGCAGTTTAGCAATTCTTAAATAATAACAATAGTAAATGTAATACTGCTATTCCCAATTTATAAGAATGTGAACAGCAGCTGAAATTCCCAGTTCATAATAAAAAGGAATGGGAAGACACTTTCCCCACAGCAGCCTCCCCTATGTATGTACAGCCGTCCTTCATGATGCATATATGATCAACCATTCAATTTTAAAAAAAAACAAACAGATTAACAGTTGCAGGCCAGACCAAAAAACAAAAGACCTGAATTTCTAGTGTGCACATCAAAGCTCAACATCCTTGTTCAATCACAGAAGTAGCAACCATGGTGCCCAACATTCAAAACCTCCACAAGACTTCAAAAGTAAGACAACTGGAGGCCCCATCTCAGATTAAGAGATGGGGCCTCCAATCTAGACAGTTTAGAAAGCAATAATCACATGCATATAGTACCATAGAATATTCAGAGCATCTCATGTGTGTTATCTCAATAACCAATACAGCAATGCTGTAAACTAAACTAGAACAAGCTTCCCTATACAGTACAGTGCCTTGTCTAAGACCACTCAGTGAATTTATGACTCAGGATTGCTTGGTTCATATTCCATTCTCATCCCCTGGATGACAACAGTTTAGCAGTATTAATGTGCAACAGTAAAATGAACTGACCATAAGTTGTGCCTTCACAAAACAGAAGTCACCAAGGCATAGTATGATAAGCCTGCGTTGGCACTAATGTTTGAGGTAATTAGAAGGGAATTTTGGTAGTAATCTTCGTAATGAGAGGGAGAGAAGTTGTTGTGGTCCCTTAAAAGTGTTTTCTGAGCATGCTCTTGAATGCAGAATCGGGAACACAGAATTTGGATTTATTGGCATTTTAGCTGCTGTATCACACTGACATGCTAATATTGTGTTGAAAAGGACTGATAATGCAGGAATCAAACAGAAACTTTTTGAGGTAGTGAGTGACTGTGTCCAGCACAGCTCCCCATCCCTCTCTGATAGGGAACTCATCTTGGAATTGCCTGCCCTGTAGAAATTTTCTTGCCTGTGCTTACCTGTCCAGGTGGTCGATGCAGAAGGTTCCTAAATGAAGAGCCTACTATTGTGTGGAAGGCAGATAAACTTAAGGGGAACTGAACTATTTGGCACTAATTTATATGTTTGTGTTTTGTTTTTGTTTTTTGAGGTAATTGCACTTCAATTTCTGCTTTCCTTGTCAACTGGAACCGAGGGAGACTGGCTTCATTAATGAAGGGCTCCTTTCTTGCTTGTTTCAAAATAGTGTTAGGTGACTATCTAACAAGCATGTGTTAAAATTTCTGCCCTCAGAAAACTGTTTTCAAATTAACTTGTCTGTCATGGAACTCTGGTGCTGAACGGGATTCCAAGACATGTTTGGGGTGTTTATTCTGTTAGTGTGTGATAATAATGGGGCCTAACATCTGGGGTGCACTGTTTGGATGGCAAACGTGATGTGAAGCACAGTCCTAAAGATTCAAGTTTCAGGGACAAGAAGGAGATGGTGGGTATACTGTCTTTCAGAAAAGCCTGTTCTCTCACAGCCAGCCTTATCTGTAGACTGAGAGAGGAACCACCTGATTTGGTTCTCTAGAAAGCATTGCAAATTGATAATTATCTCCTTAATTATCATGTTTTAACTATTAAAATGAGGGAAGAAATGCTTCTGGGGTTTCTGCCTCATGTGCCCCAATCACTTCTATGATCTTAAGTACTATGTGGGAAGATGTATCGTTTTCTCCTCTGCCTGAGGCAGAAAATGAGGGCAACTGTGTAATTATTGTTAAATCTTGATAAATATCCCAGAAACCTTCAAATTCCCTGAAAAAGTTTGAAAACCTTCAGCCTAAAAACTAGCCAGCAGACCATTCTATGACCTGGAACTATGGAAAAAAATAGTTGGTATTTTCAGATTTCTTCCCTCATAAAGAAATGCTGATAACTCATGGTAATAATCATCATAACAATATTTTTTAAAAAAACAGTCATGGAATCAAAAAAAAAAAGGAAACAAAGGTGATGGAGGAGTGAGGCAGAAGCTATGCTTTCCATTTGGCATTTCTCAAAGACAAGGAAAAGAAGAATTAAATGCCACCCTGTATCCCTGTTATTTATTCTGTGTAGCCAATCAGAAGCATCAAAGAACAGATGGAAAACCTGATGTTTGCCAGTTGCACAGTTCATACATCCCACTCCCCAGAGATTAGGACAAATCAGAATGTGGCTTTAGATTCTCCAAAACGTGATCCATATTATTCTGTATATCATAAAATCCCTTCCATGGCTTTTATTTGGAATGGAGAAGAAATTCCCTAGTAATTTCAGAGGGAAAATGCTGAATCAATGTCTAGCCTAGGAAGGAAATGCCCACAAAGAGAATAGGACATTTCAAAGATATGAAGTAGAACAGCACAAAAAATCAGCTGATCTTTTTTTAAAAAGGCACTCTGCATTAAAAATAGAGCTAATTGTTTTTCCCCAGGGATGTGTAGTATTCTGTCAACACTTTCCATGCTTTTGGTGCCATGAATCCATCAGGGGGATTTTCACCTTCACGAGCCAGCTTTCTCATGCGTGTCCCAGAAATGAAGTCAAATTCATTGTGCCTATTAAGAAAAATGTAGCTACTGATGAAGATGGTACAATTGTAATAGTACATACGTAAACAGTACAATTTTCTATACATAGAAATGACTTGGAAATGGAATTATTCTGTTCACTAAAGAATAATAATCTCCACCTTTCTTGTAGCTGGAGAAATGCATGAACAGCCTGTGACATGCCAGCTGCTCTGCACCAATTCCAGAAGAGAAACTTACATTTTAGTGTTTAGTGTTGTCGATCAAAAGGTGATCTAAAAACAAAATGTATCATTATGCCAATGGCATTTATGGCCACAATGTCTGTGGACACAAACTTAAAACAAGCAACAACAATTTTTCAGAATGAATGTCTACACTCGAGGGGGGGGGAATCTACCAACACCATACAGTATATGACAAGTTGTCATTAGCCATGACACTTACCTGTCTGGATCATAGAAAACCATTGCTTTTTGTACTTTGTTATAGGCAGCAATTCGGAAAGGAATGATTTCCACAGAAGTAAGTCCTGGAGCCATGCTAAGCACCTTTCCACCATGTGAGGGTTCATACAGATCTTTCTTGGTCTCCGGGTGGGGCATACCAGCTGGATCTCGACCCACAATATAGAAGTTGGCACCAGCAATCATTCTTGCCCTACAGTGCCACTGGACCTAAAAAGAGGCGAAACATGAGTGCTCTGGTGAAAACAGGATTTATTGCACTGTTCAGAGATTTATTTTTAAAGCACTTTGGAAACATCCCTTTTTTGGACTATTGTTCCCAGAATCCCCAGCCTTCATAGCTAGGAGCTGTAGTCTAAAAATTGACATTTCTGACCTCTCAAAAACTTGATATTTTAGACTACAATCCTATACATACTTGGCTCCAAATAGTAGCCACTGAATTCAGTCTTTCTTCTGGGTAGCCGTGCAAAGTTTGTATTGTTGCTGTTTTAAAACATCTTCAGCAGAAGAAACATACAGTGGTGCCTCGCTTAACAACGATAATCTGTTCCAGGAAAATCGCCGTTAAGCGAAAACATCGTAAAGAAAAGGGAAAAAAAACACCACTGAACCGCATTGAAACCCGTTCAATGTGTTCCAATGGGGCAAAAACTCACCGTCCAGCGAAGATCCTCCATACGGCTGCCATTTTCGCTGCCTGTATAGTGAGGAATCCCTCCCTAAACACAGCGGGGAGCCATTTTAATCACCCGGTGGCCATTTTGAAACCACTGATCAGCTGTTAGAAAAACGTTGTTTTGCAAAGAATCAGTTCCTGAAGCAGGGAACTGATAATCGCAAAGAGAAATTCCCCCATTTAGACCATTGTTTTGTGATCGCAATTGTAATCGCAAAAAGATCGTCGTTAAGCGGATTCATCATAATGTGAAGCAATCGTAAGGCAAGGCAACACTGTACAGTCATGGCCAAAAATATTGGCACCCTTGCAATTCTGTCAGAAAATGCAACCTTTCTCTCAGAAAATTGTTGCAGTCGCAAATGTTTTGGTACTCACATGTTCATTTCTTTGGTTTGCGTTGGAACAACACAAAAAAAGAGAAGAAAAGTCAAATCTGATTCAATCCCACGCACAAACCCAAAAATGCACTGGCCAAAATTACTGGCACCCTGGCGCAGTGGTTAAACTGCCGTACTGCCGCCAAAGCTGTGCTCACGACCCGGGGTTCAATCCCAGGTAGCAGCTCAAGGTTGACTCAACCTTCTATCCTTCTGAGGTCGGTACAATGAGTAGCCTGCGTAATTAACTTATAAACCTCCCAGAGAGTGCTATGGGACAGTATATAAGCAGAACGCTTTGCTTTTGCTTTTAAATTCTAAGAAATAATTGCTTTCCAAGCATGTGATGCTCCTTTAATTTGTATTTAGGTACACCTGTTGCAAGTAAGAGGGGTGGGCAATATAGTAATCACACTTGCAATCAGTTAAGATGGAGAAAAGTTAACTCAACCTTTGTGTTGTGTGTGACACTGAGCATGGAAAAAAGAATGAAGTGTAGAGTTGTCTGTGGATTTGAGAGAAGAAATTGTGGAAAAACATCGACAGTTTCAAGGCTACAAGTCCATCTCCAGAGATCTTAATGTTCCTGTGTCCAGTGTGTGCAATATCAAGAAGTTTACAGCCCATGGCACTGTAGCTAACCTCTCTGGACGTGGACGGAAGAGCAAAATTACTGAAAAATTAAAACAAAGGGTTGTTTGAATGGTGGGTACAGAATCCAGATTAACTAGCCAACAAATTCAAGCTCATCTGCAGACACAGGGTACAACAGTGTTAACTCGCACTATCCACCACCATCTGAATGAAAAGGGACGCTATGCAAGGAGACCCAGGAGGACACCATTGCTGACACAAAGGCATAAAAAGCAAGACGAGTATGCCAAAATGTATGTGACAAAACCACAATCCTTCTGGGAGAACTTACTGTGGACAGATGAGACAAAAGTGGAGTTTTTCAGTAAAGGACAACATGGCACTGTTTAGAGAAAAAGAAATGAGACATTGAAAGAACACACTCCCTACAGTTAGACATTGTGGAGGTTCAAAGATGTTTTGGAGTTGCTTTAGTGCTTCTGGCACTGGTTGCCTTGACTGTGTGAACGGTATCATGAAATCTAATGATTCGAAGAATTTTGGGGCGCAACGTAGTGAGTGACCAGTGTCAGAAAGCTGCGTCCCCACCAGAGGTCATGGGTCTTCCAGCAGGACAATGACCCGAAACACACTTCAAAAAGCACTCAGAAATGGTTACAAACAAAGTGCTGGAGAGTTCTGAAATGGCCAGCAGTGATTCCAGATCTGAATCCCATAGAACACCTGTGGAGAGATCTCAAAACAGCAGTTTGGGAGAAGGCATCCTTCGAATCTGAAGGCCCTGGAGCAGTTTGCAAGAGAAGAGTGGTCCAAAATTCTAGTAGAGAGGTGTAAGAAACTCAATCATGGCTACAGGAAGTGATTGCAGTTATTTTTTCTAAAGGGGGTGCTACCAAATATTAAGTTAAGGGTGCCAATAATTTTGGCCAGTGCATTGTTGGGGTTCTTTGTGGGATTGTATCAGATTTGAATTTTTCTGCTCTGTTTTGTGTGTGTGTGTGTGTTGTTCCAACGCAAAGAAATGAACATGTGAGAAATGGTAAGAAAAAAGATGAGCCCATGTGTAAGGAATCAGTTGCAGCCATTCTCAATGAGCCCATAGCACACCTGAAGAGGGGGCAGAGATTGGGAACAATTTTTCACACACTAACTTATAAGGTTAATTATGTGACATACAATCTTGATTTGGCCTATAATTCTTTCATATGGTTTTTATGGCCATGGCCAAAAAAAGGTTAAGAATGGCTGAGTTACAGAGTCTTCGTATCATGTTCAAGTTCTAAAGAAAATGTTTTGCCTTGTAAAAAGGAGAAGGATAATGTTTCTCAGTCACCCTGCTGAATCATCATTCAGTTCCCAGTATTTCCTGTGCTCTCTTTCAGAAAGCTAAATCCAATTATTAACCCAGGCCAGAAAGGAAACACTGAAATGCATCAGATTTGTTAGTAGAGACTAACAGGTCCCATTCATTTCAATGGGTCTCCTTTAACTGGGACTAAAATCGAATTTCACCCAGATCATGGGTCCTTCTTCATGTTAAACCTTCTTTCTGATTAACCCTCTGTGCTTCAAAAGTTGTCAAGTCAATTCTGACCTATGGCAACCCTTTTCAGGATTTTCTAAGTAGAAAGTGATTTACTGTTTCCTGCTGGGGTTGCCCTGGGATTGTGCAATTTGCCCAGGGCCACATAGGTTGGCTGTTCTGTGATGGCACAGTGGGGAATTGAACTCCCAACCTCTGGCTCTGCAATCAGATACCTAACTCACTGAGCTATCCAGCCAGCTGTTGCTGCAAACAGAAAGATATAATTCCATTCATAGGGAAGAGCAAAAGAAAGCAAAAACATGCTCTTCCTATAGTTCTTACTGAGGAAATGGCATACCTCTGTTGGTCCTGCATACAACATTGGAGAAGGGAAAATGGCAACGACTGTTGACTTGGGATCTAGGATATGCTCCTCCAACACTGCAGCATGCTGCTTCATGCGCCATTCAAGGGGCACATCATCATCCTTGGTCCACCCACCAAGAGGATGCAACAGCAGCACAGGATGCTTATAGCCCCTTTCTAGCAGACGGCGTTTGGTGTCCTGCATCAGTAAAGCATGTCCATTATGGACAGGATTGCGCAGCTGGAAAGCAAACACAGCATCTGAAAGGCAAAAAAAAGGGGGGGGGAAATGCAGAAGTGGGAGAACCAACTGAATTACAGCAATGCCAGATAGAGAAAAATACATGGAAAAATTATCTACAACAGGAACATACAAATTGTGGCTCTCTTTTTGTTGGACTACAACTACCACCATCCTTCATCATTGGCTATGATGAGAACTAGAGTTCAACAATATCTAGAAGGCTACAGTTGTCCAGCAAGATCTATAAACGGGAAATGTGAACAGCTTTTATCCTAAATCAGGATAACTGTACAGCAAATACAGTGGACCCTCGACTTACAGACGGCTCGACTTACAGACTTTTCGAGTTACAGACTTCTCTGGCTGCAAAATTTAGATTCAACTTGCAGCCGGAGAATCGACTTACAGACCAGAAAAAAACCAAAATGGAACAAAAATAGAATAAAAACCGCTGGTTATGGGATTAATCGGTTTTCAATGCACTGTAGGTCAATGGAGATTCGACCTACAGACTTTTCGACTTGCAGCCACCATTCCAATACGGATTAATTCCTTAAGTAGAGGGTCCACTGTACAGCAAATGAAAGATGAGTATCATCTGTCTGTAGTTTATCTATCCATCCATCCATCCATCTTGCCTTTTTCCAAGGGCAAGGATCCAGAGCAGCTTATAAAAATATTTACAAATTCACAAATAATTAAAAGCCTCTCAATGGATGTTGGTTTTCAATTGCCAGCAGAAGGAAATCAGGGAAGGGGCCAACCGAAATCCCCAAGGAAAGGAGTTCCATAATCCAGGAGCAGTCACAGAGGTTTTAGCTCTGATCATTATGTTAAGTGTGCTGATTATCCTTCTGCTAGAAAACTAACAGTGTCTTTACTTCGTGCTCAAGTTATAATTCAGTACTACTAGATTGCAAATATGTATACACACACATCTGTCAGTAAGTGAGGCTTCTTTTTCAATGGAAACATACAGAATTTTAGTTTCCATCAATTTCAACGGAAGAGAACTGAGCAATTTTAGAAGGCTTTTTGCTGCATCCTGTTTTTAACCCCTCTCAACTTCAGCAGCCCACCCAATTTAAGGATAATACAACTATCATAAAGATACCATTTAACTGAAAATTCGGGTGTGTGTGTGTATCTTCAGAAAATCTTAGACAAGACGGTCCCCCAAACACTGCTCTACAACAGTTGCACGGAAGCTAACGGTCCTGTCTGATGGCTCCTAAGAGATGAAGAATGCCTGTGTTTTGCTGCTATCTATGAACTGCAAAAAATGGGGCCAGCAATCACTTGAGAGGCTTATTTATGCTTGTCTTGCTGGGTCACCAGTCAAGCAAGCCTATTTTATTCCCAGGGCCAGCTCCATCGTGCAACAAGCCAGCCATGGACAGATGAAGGCAAATACTGGTGCCTGGGTGACGCAAGAAGACATTTTAAAGTGAAAAGCGGCAGGCATTGAAAACTCCCAAGCTCTGCCAACTGTCTTGGACGAGTGGTATCTTCATATTTATTGAACTCTAGAAAAGTTAAAGACTGATCTCTTTGGACCACGGATTGAAGAATATTGGGGCCATCACAGAAAAGGCCTCCTACCAGCAATGTTACAAAAGCAGAAATGTGGCCCTTTACCAGCATTCATTTCTTTAAACTTCTGTCGTAGCTCCAGCGGTGTCAAGCGGTACTGGTCCAGCCCATCATTCCACTTGATTCTCTCTAACCCAAGAAGGTCTCCACCAACCAACCAATCTCCACTTTCCATCACCATCTATAAAAAGGCATAATCCACTAATTAGGATAAAATGACATTTTGAGGTAATTATCGATTGTAACCTCCGTCTAAACCAGGGGTGTGGAACCTGGGACATTTTGGATGTTGTCAGCCTACAACTTTCCTCGTAGCCTTCGCTTATGCTGCCTTGAGTTCATGGGTTGAATCTAGTTGAGTCTAAAGCAACATCTGGAAAAATCACAGTTCCCCCACTCTGAGAAAGACCAACCTTAATTAGTGAGACTTTGAGGCTGTCACCAACAACTCAACTGTAGCAGTGGGGGTGGCCAAACTGTGGTCCAGATCCACAGGCTGCTATTCTAGGGGAAGCATTTGAAGAGAGGCTACCTGACAATTTGAAAGTACAACGGCTGAAGTGGCAAGATTTCAGCTTTCACTCCTCCCTTCCCAGCTCTATGTTGGGAACCAAAAACACTTAGAAACAGCAGAAAACAGAAGAACAGAAATAAAGTGCAGAGTACATTATCGTACTAAGTAGATGCATTGTTTTATTTATTGCAACAACAGCAAAACCCTGAATTATTTATTCACACTTCACATACTTTTACGTGCGGATGCTTTGCACATATCGTTCCCCAAACACGGGCGCAGCGCTCCTCCTTCCTGTGCTCAAAAAATTCTGGATTTTTTAGTATTGCTACCCTCCGTCCATTGTACTCCAGTGTAAATGCATTGCAACCTTCCAGGCGTTTCTTGTCCTCCGAAGATATTGGAAGTACAATGGGAATGCTCAAGTTAATGACACCATCTGTGAAAAGAACAAGGCCATACCTTAATTCACATAAAACTGATATTAGAAAAGATGGTTGCATGAGTCATTCTGAAAACACTATGAAAAGGGCAGGGGGGGGATCCCCATTACCAGCTAGTTTGAATATTGGTGACCTCTGCCAGTTTAATAACTGAAGCAATCAATATCCTGCATCACAATAAGAAAGCATTCCCAGAGAGGCTTACAAGATAGTTCAAAAACAAACAAAAGAACTGCTGGACAGTTCAGTGGTTTAGGTATCTGGCTGCAGAACCAGAGGTTGAGAATTCGATTCACCACTATGCTTTCTTGACAGAGGCTGGACTCAATGATTCATAGGGTCCCTTTGCAGTTCTAAGAAGATTATGATGATCATTATGTTATTAAATGATGCAACAAAATAAAGTAGCAACAATGGTGATAAAAGCTTGTTTTTCATATGTTTTTGTTCTAGGCTGCAGCCTGTTTCATCAAAGACATGTGATGTCTCTGATGAAAGAGGGGCACAATCCATGAAAACCAACACCAGATAAAATTTGCCAGTCTGTCAAGACTCCTCTTTGTTTTTGCTGCAACTGCCTCCCTGAAATAATGATAAACAGCTCTGTTGTCATTTCAAAACCTTCAAAAATAAATAGGCTTTGCTCAGTGTCCAAATAACAATAAAATGGAGTTGGTTTTTCTCACTAATCTCCTTGGGAAGAATACTCTGCAAATACTGAGCTGCAGTTAAGAGCTTTGCTCCGGCAACTTCTCTCCACACAACCCAGCACATGCGTACCTAAACACCCATATATGTCAATCACCTTTAGAAACCTTCCTCCAGGTGTACAGGAACCTGAAAAGTGATTGCAAAATATGAGCAGATAGATACCACAGCAGACACTACTTCAAGTTGCCCATATTTCAATCCACATGTAATTTTTAAGGTCCTCACGAAGGCTTTGAGTTACACCCCGAAACCGACAGTTGTATTAGCTCTGGTAAGGTTGGTTGCCATTGATCAGTTCCATTTGAATCCACATGGAATTTTTAAGGTCCTCACAAAGGCTTTGAGTTACACCCTGAAACCGACTAGGAAACACTGCAGTTGTATAAGCTCTGGCAAGGTTGGTTGCCATTGATCAGTTCCATTTCACAGCCTACCAGCCATCTATTGAACTAATCAGAGTTTCCAGTTTTCAAAGATAGTGGGATGTAAAGGGCTCTGGAGTAGGTCTGATCCAGAAGTTTTCAGAGGATGGGTAATCATGATTTCAGTGTCTCTGTCCAGGATGAGTCCTAGCAGGTATGCCAGCCTTACCTGAGGAAAGCTGCTTTGTGCCATCATTCAGTAGACTAGAATTAAAATATACCTACTTAATTTACAACACTTATACCCAGGCCTTCAGATTTTCCACACCAACAGCAGCTTCCATTGAAACAATAAATTACATAACCATTGGAAGAACACTTTAAAAATATATAAAACAGTTAAGGCCCCAGAGCTGTAAAAATATTTCACATTTCCACAGGAACTAAAACCAGATTAAATTATACCAAATCAGAGGGGCTAATACCAGAATGCACAATGGTATAGTTGTATTCTTGCTTAGCAAGTTGGCCCCCAATGGGATAAAGAATTGTAACTAACCAACCAAATAAACAAATAAATCACCTGAAGCTCAAAGCTCATCCCTACTCTTTCTGGAAACACTTTATAACAATTCCCAACAAAAATAAAATAAATATGTCAAAGATTACAGTAGATACATGAGCTGCCTCATATTTAGAGTGAAAAGAAATACTCTTTATTTAGAATATTACAGACCCATCATATGTACCCATCTTAATCCATCACTTCCTTGCATGTGTACCAAAGTGGGAACATTTGTGCCTCAACAGCACAGCTGGCTACCTTGGAAAGGGTAGCCCCGTATTACTCCTTTGCAAACATTTTTTTTCTCATCTGTGAATTTCTGGTGGTTTTTTTCATATAACCATAGCATTGGAAAGACCCCAATATTTGATATAAACAGCTATAGGCCAGATGAGTTTCTGCTAAGCAAAACATCCCTCCAGTGTAGTAATGCAGGGGAATGGTGCCCACTCAGGCATTGTTGTTGTACAAGTGACAATCTCTAGGAAGAACATGACAGGTTTGAGCTAAACCTGGTGGAATTGTTAAATGCAGTTTTGTACATAGAAATAAGTATTTATAAGAATCAGTGCTAAAGAGAGAAGTAAAGCAAGAATTTATCCAGCTGAGTAAGTTGTAGCAGCTGAGAGAGCAATCCCAGGATTGGCTAACCCTGGGATAAAGCTAGCAGACCTCTAGCACACACTCTCTGTGGGTTGGTGTTGTTGTGTTGCTGTGCTGGAGTATTCTGGAAGAAGCCATGTCTTCGTGCTGTATATTGGAAGAAGAACTCTGGCTACTGGACTGAACATATGGTATTTGACTGCTGAACTAATTTATAAGAACTTTGACTCTGATTTATGCATTTATGTGTATGACTTCGGGACTGGAAACAAGGACTAAGCTGTACATGTATGTATATATCCTGTAAATAATACAACTATTCTGCTATCAACGCTGCTTTATTGCTTGGCGTCTTCATCTCTCAGGGAAGTTCTTTTGGTTAGCACCACCTGGTGCATCCTGGTAATACCGCAACTATGTCAGAAAGTCTACCCTCTGCTTTCCCACAGCAGGGTTTCTGCAAGAAGTATGCAATACTGCATTATCACAATGGTGGGACTTTCCATTCAGCAAACGTTTAGCAGGATACTGGCCATAATATTTATTCATTTGATGTTCTCTCAATCTTAAACTTCACATAATTGGTAATGGATTTATATACATAAGTATATATAAATGATATTCAGACCAGGATTTCACAATCAGAATCCTACTGACAATTTATGGTTGCGTAAGGGAAATAATGCAAATTATGGCAGCAGACTGCTACTCATTAATGGAGGTGCTGATTGTGTTGCAGGATGCATATTCTTATGTGTCCAGCACCCTGTTAATGAGGATCAAATTGCTGCCTTACCTTAATGCAATTTCCCTTACAGAAGCATAGGTTGACAATAGGATCCCAGCCAATTTCTTCTAGATTACAATGGATTTCTCGTTAAACCTCCTTTACAGAGCAATATGCACAGTGAATTTCTTTGTCCTTATTTTCCTTAAACCTCCTTTACAGAACAATGTATATGCACAGTGAATTTCTTTGTCCTTATTTATGTTAAGTAAAATTAGTTTATGCTTGGTTGTATCTTTGTGTACTTCACATGTAACCCCTAGTATATCGGCAGGGCAATAATTCATGTAAACGAACAATTAATTTTGGTTTAGTTAAACATCTTTTTTGCTTACAATAATAATAAAGTATTTTGATGTTTTTCATTAGTAAAAACAAAATCAATAGATAAATTAGAGACTAAGTATGGTGTTCATTTTGTTTAACCATTAAATGCAAATTATGCAAATTCACAACAATTTCAAACTCAATTTTAATGGATTCTATGATTACTTTCCCTATTCTAACTATCCTTATGATTGTTCATCTGATCATCTTGACTATGGGTTGGATCCAAAGTAATGTGAGCTGAATGACTTGTCAACACTGGTCCATGAAGGTTTAGTTTAAATCCCTTTAAATGTGTACAAAATAAGGCCTAGTGGCTGAGACCACCCCAAGTAGCAGGGAATTTCACGCAGCCAAGTATCAGGAGCCATGTCCCAATATGCAATGAAATGCCACAATGACACACATGTAGATGGGGTGTGGACCACACAATTCTTCACTGAAAAGTACAGGCAGCAGCCATTTAACAAGCATGGCCACTGCAAAACTCCACATACTTTAAATCTCCAAAGGGAACTCTAACACTGGTGGTACCTGCAGCTCTGCATGCCAAAGCATGCTCCATTCAAACAATTTGTCACTGGAAAGCAAAATTTGGAGATTAAAGTAGCTGTGTAGGATTTTCTGTTCCTTCAAGGGCTTGCCACAAGCACCTTTCAGTGGAACTGTTTGCACTTCGCTTCTGCAGCCATTAGGGCTTGATTTTCACACATAAATGGAATTCAAACTATAGGTAGTTAAAGATAAGGAATCCAAAGCAAAGAATAATATATTTGGATTTCAGGTTTATTTTCCTTGCACAGGAGTCTTCCCCTAAGCTGGGAAACAGCCCTTCCATGAGCAGAAGAGGTTTTTCTGCTTATGGAGGGACGCCTTTGAATCCAAACCACTATACAGATTCTCTACAGTTAAATTTTAATATTATTCCCTGTGATATGTCTATGGGTCATCCATATTAAATCCATGCATAATTAGAAACTTATGAAGAGCAGTATATTCATACTGGGATTCAACCAGATACATTTTCCCCTCTTTACTTCACTCTCTGATCAAGATCTCTTCTGCAAAGCTCTTTGAAGAGATTAGAGAGAGAGGGAGAGATGAGATAAAATTGCAAAATCTAACAATTGTCTTATCATCAAATAGCCAGTGTTCAATCCATAAAACCATTTACAAAAAGATTTCTCCTTGGAAATGTTAATTTTAATATTTCATATGTAATTTGCTGAGGACCATCTTGGCTCATGGCCCACAGAGTTTAAGGAAGGTTGCCTACTAAGACAGTGAAGGCAGCTCCTCCAAATGAAAAAGGGATGACATAAAACACTAGGCAGCAGGCCAGAAGATGCGTTGCCTTTGGATCAGGTAACTGGTAAATTGGGCGTGAAGCCTGGGGTTTGGTACAGTTCTGCATCAGGTTCTCAAGAGTCCCTCAGCCAGCAGGACCACTGGAGAATTCCAAGAGTTATAGTCCAAAGAATGGGACTGTTCCATATTCTGTATGCAGAAGGGAACCACTTAGGTTAGAAATGTACATCAATTTAAGTACCCATCTGTACCAATGCAGTTTAAAAGTGCTTTGCTACAATCCTCAATACAATCAGGATTAAAGCCAATTAAAAGTAGCTTTTTTTCCAGATGGTAAAAAATAGTTGAGAAACATGGCATTACAAGTGTAACTGGTTGGATCATGAATATACTTGTATTGATTCCACTCTTCTATATCCAAGTTTCATTTCTGTCGAATACATTTTCTAACAAAATACAACTTAATACATACCAAGCCCGGAAATATCAAATCTACCCCTTCCTGGCAAAATACAAAAATAATTATCAACCATATTTTAACTGAGACAGCTTTTGCCTATAAATAATATCTCTTGCTTGCAAATAATATCAATTTGATGCTTTGGTCCTAACCATGCTCTTTGGTCATGCTGACCATTCCAGGAATGCAATCCATGTGAGAAAGGAGGCTCTTACACATGGTGTAGAAAAGCCAGCAGTCATCCTCACTGTGGGATAATGGGAGAGGTAGTCAAAAACTCACCCAAAAAACTCTGTACACATTCTGAGCTAATGTGAAAGGAAAGGTGTGTTTCCATCTGTCTCAAGATGTACCTCTGGGACCTATTGAAATTGGCTGGATGTATCTTTTGATGGAGAGATGTTAACAGTAGCCAAACATGAATGTAATTCGATTAGAGTCCTGAGGTTTTCACATGGTATCGTCACTAACAACTTTGTAAAGCAGGTCAAACAGGAATATAACACATGTTGTCTATCAAATGTCTGTCACCCTTAAGTTCTTATTGTAAGTACTGGAGCTGGATTTAGTGAAACTTTGACTAGAGTTTAATAATAGTTTTGCAGAGAGCTGAAGAATGCATGAAAGAAAGAAAGACCTCTGAAACCAGCAGATTTTGCAGTTCCGATCACCTAAAAACTGCAAAGCTTATTTCATGTGAGGCAGAGGTGGGAAAGGAGGGAGTATCTGTGCCTCCCATAAGAAGCAAAGCACCACTTAAACTGATTCCAACTCTTCTGAAAACCAATGTTTTATTCATTTCAATGTGAATTAGTTGTGCTTTACTTTTATTGTTACTATTCCAATATATTTCTACCCTCTTTCTCCACAACTTTATATAGTGCTCAAGGAAACTTACAGCTGACATAAAACATAACAAAAATGACAAGTAAAAACAAACTCAACCATCAAATCAATAACATGACCCAAAATGAAATACAAATACATATGAATATATTACAGCTTATAGATAGTTGAAATCATCCGAATAAATTAAACGATATTTTGTAGATCATAATTTTGTTGAATGATGCTCAGGGAGTGCTCCAAGGCCACTGAGGTGCTCGGCTAAATAGTGATGTAAATCCAGATCTCCCTGGACCAACACTCCATTCCCTACACAGCATTTTAAACCCTGGAGACTGACAGCACCTTTACACATTCTCATAGATATTGCTACTTTTAAATGTTCTCATTTGTTTTGAGAACAGCTTACACAGTGGTTACAGCAGGACTCCAGAAACAGTTTATCTTTGGGTTGGAGTAAGGCCAAGGATTACTGATTCAGTCTAACACTGATTCAAGAATACGTTTGATTGAAACTGGTGTATTCTTGTTTATTAGCAAAATTTATCTCATCACACAAGAATGCAACAAAGTTGTGTTTCATTGATTTCAACATGCAGGTGTTCAACACATTGATTTCTTCAAATGAATTTGGAAGGGAGGGAGGGAGGAAGGGAGGGAGGCGATTTATTTCTTCAAATGAATTTGGAAGAGAGGGAGGGAGGGAGGAAAAGGAAAGTGCACAGAAGCAGACATGGAAAAAGTGTAGGAATCAGCAAAGGAAAGTGTGCAGAAGTAGACATGGAAAAAGTGTAGGAATCAGCAAATCATACCATCAAGCAATGTGCCAAAATGGATTACTTGCAAATACTCCTTTTCTCGCATAAACCCTTTCAGTGGGGTGGCCCAACCTTCACTTAGGATTTGAACCCACTGTAGATCCAGCTTTAAAAAAACAGAGAGAAGAGCACATGGCAGATTTACATGCATAAATGAGTAAGAAGTGTTTTTAACCTTTAGTTATAGCACCCTTTAACAAACTATTTACTAATTAAATACTACAAAATATTCTCTGGTCAAAAACACACACTCATGTGTGTGTTGTCTTAAATTCTACCACTAAAGATAGCTACAATGTGTTGAGTTGTGATGAATTAATTACTAGCAGATGCCTGTCATTATGGTAGAGAGGTTATTCTTAGAGGAAAGGCAGGGTAGTAAGCTTGGCATAGAAAGGAACACATCCCCAGGGAGTCCCTTTTGGTTCAAGGCCAGATCACATAGTGATCAGTAGCAGAAGACAATGCTACACACACACACACATACACACACAAACAAGGTGATCAGTAGCAGAAGACAATGCTACAAACACACACACACATATACACACACAAACAAAAAAAATTACAATTATGTACTGATTCCTCAAGAGTGCATAGCAGCCATTCACACTTGTTTTGTTTAGTCATTAAGTCGTGTCTGGCTTTTCGTGGCCCGATGGACCAGAGCACGCCAGGCCCTCCTGTCTTCCACTGCCTCCTGAAGTTTGGTCAAATTCATGTTGGTAGCTTTGATGACACTGTCCAACCATCTCGCCCTCTGTTGTCCCCTTCTCCTCTTGCCGTCACACTTTCCTAACATCAGGGTCTTTTCCAGGGAGTCTTCTCTTCTCATGAGATGGCCAATGTACTAGAGCCTCAGCTTCAGGATTCAGCCATTCACATAAATTAAGAGTAGATTTGGAGACACCATTGTGCAAGGATGTGTGTGGCATGTGGGTGCTGAGGGCAGGGAACAACACTGGCTCTCAGAGATGCCAAAGCTGCCCGCCCCTTGCTGTAGACAAAAAGTTTCTATGCAACATGGAAGCCAGCGTGTACACCCTCCCCTCCCCCTATGAGTGTCCACTTCTGTCCTTGCAGAAACTGCCTCCATAGAGACGATCATAGCTTGTGCACAACACACCTTAGAGGACTAGCTGCCATACTAACGACTGCAGCTCCCATCCCTTCACGCATTCCTCTACAGGAGGGATAATTCCATGCAGGGCAAGGGTGGAGTGGGAAGTTGCGAGAGCACAGCAAATGTTAGGAACTGGTACCAAGCAAATAACTGTCCAAACACTGTACTAAATTAGTGACCTATCTGTATGCAATATAATAATTAGGAGAGTCAGAGCAAACCATAACATTGTAAAAGGGAGTCCTTCAGGATACCTATTGAGGTAAAGACTCAGAAGAAAGTATGCCATGGCAGGCATCAGCTGCCACCCCTAATTCAAATCTCTTTCAACGCAGGCTGCAAGGGGTGTGATTTTTCTTGGAAGAGAACATGGCAGGTAGGAAAGAGTTAAATTTCTCCTACCATCTTCCTACACTCCTGACCCTGCTTCTTCACTACCACCACCAGCCTAGATAGGCTTACATATTTCTGAAGGTGCAAATTATATTTCTAAAATTAACATAACAATTAGTTTGGCTCTGAGTCGATTGCATGTGTTCTTGAATTAATTATTTTGACCTCAATTACATTATGATTATAGATACACCTGCCCAGGCTAGTATTTCCACTACAGCTAGCAGGCATGCTTGCTGCAGCTTGGCATCCATTTCCAAGAACACAGTTGTCATATTATATATGAAACTGCACCTCCATCTGGTGGCCAGTAGGTGGTGACAGATATCACCATAAACACTAATCACAACTGCACTGAGATTGGGTGGGGGGGGGAGAACCATGCTGAAAACTATTAAGGACTGTGGTTCTTAAAACTTTGCAGTGGGGGGGGAAGGGGCACAGTGTTTCAAGAAACCAGTTTTTTATTTAGGGCAGTGACTTTTGAAGATACTACCTTCAGAAAATCCTTTCTGCACTAATTGGCTTACTAAAGAGGTCTCCCATTTCAGTCACAGAACCACTCCACGTAGCTGGCTAGGCCTTATTTGTCAAGCAGGCTACCTCAAAACCTTTAACCACCAGAGGCAAAGGACGTCCACATCCATTCCACGTACAGAAAATGATCTCCTGGCTGCCGAATCTTATTTTTAAAACACTGTGGCAGAATATCTTCCTCTACCTCTCCTGAGGCCGTAGACTGGCTTATAGGGCACAACGGACGTGGTTTTGCCCTCCTAATATCTTATCACGGTTTTGCACCCTCCAGCATCTACTAAGGCAGCTTACTTTCCCTAATCTTAGGGCAAGTCCCAGCCTTAGGATATACTTAGAATTATGGGACCGGATGCTATTTATCGAGGTGTGTTGGATGCCATGTGCTCTTAATCAATGGCTCTTAATCACGGGTCTGCCAGATGTTTTGGAATCCAAAACCCAGAAACCTAATAGCTGGCATTGCCATCAGTCAAAAATTCTTGGGGTTGAAAATCCAAATACCTCTGGAGTGCCAAAGGTTAAACACAACGGTATGAGAAGATGGCTAGCAGTTTCTTAGTGCTGCTCACTGTAAAATATTATTAAAAGATGGTTAGGTTGTTACTGCTTGACCTGCCATGAATCCCGGACAAGCTTCTGAATCACACACACAAACCCTTATAGCATTAAAGGCCAAGAATGTTTGCCAGAGAAAACCAGGAAGAAGTTATTCTTGCTAGGGCCACTTTCTACAGCTTAAGGAGTAACATCAAAATATGACATCAAGACACAGAATAACCAAGCTTTGAGGGATCAGGATGAAACACTGGGGTGCCCACAGGCAGCACTGCACTCAAAAGGTTAGATTTGAGTTGCTCCCCCATTCCATTTAGTGTAACCCACAGCATGGAGCAGTTCCTACATTCATTAATCTGGGGGAAAGGAAGCTCGCCTAGTGAAAAGCAGCTAGAAAGTGGTAGAAACTACACCAGCCAACAACAGAATATTTGGTGGGAATAAGCTGGCCCTCCTCCATCTGATTTTGATCACAGCCCTTTTCGAATAGGTAAAGGTAAAGGTTCCCCTTGACATTTAGTCCAGTCATGTCCGACTCTAGGGGGTGGTGCTCATCTCCGTTTCTAAGCTATAGAGCTAGCGTTTGTCCGTAGACAGTTTCCGTGGTCTCGTGGCCGGAGCGACTAAACACGGAATGCTGTTACCTTCCCACCGTGGTGGTACCTATCTATCTACTCACGTTTTACATGCTTTCGAACTGCTTGGTTGGCAGGAGCTGGGACAAGCGAAAGGAGCTCACTCCTTTGCGTGGATTCAATCTTACAACTGCTGGTCTTCCAACCTTGCAGCACAGAGGCTTCTGCGGTTTAACCCACAGCGCCACCCATTTCGAGTAAATTGGATGAATCTTCTATTTACTTGAAGGCAAGGGAGGGAGACAGCTAGTCCTGACTAAACTGGTGGGAGTGAGAAATTCCCCTCTAGGGATCTATAAAGTCTTTTGAGGACACTTCCTCTGAGAAGTTAACTGCCAAGAGTCCCTTTATCAAGAAACTCTTGGCAGGGATGAATGGTAGTAGAACATGAGGCAGAACATGCTTCGTGAAGCGTAGAGCATGAGGATGGAATTCCTATCTGTTTGATGTACAACTTATCTCTTACTTTGGTAATCTTTACAGACGGCAATGTATTGGCTTCAGCCCGAGCTTCTTCAATTTTATTTTCAGGTACAAATAGTTCAAGGACATCCTTGATTGCAGTTGAAGGAACAATGTTCTAGGGAAGAGGGGAGAAAAAAGAGACAGAGAGAATCCTCCAGTAAAAACATGAATTGCAGCAAATACAATGAAATTACTTGCAGCAAGCACAAATATTCCTCTTGTCCTATGAAGGCATGAACAAGACTTATTTAACTGGCTTTGCAGCAACAGACTAACACACCTACTACTTTGGGCGTTATTACATTTTGCTAGGTTAGTTTAGGTACTCAAGACAAACAAAAGATACCTGTTGTTGCAAGAGCTCCACAATTTGATGGATGCATTCGATCACTGAAGCGATGTTGGTTTTTAATACAAGTTCAGGTGCTTCTGGTTTTTCATATTCTGAGTCAATTCCAGTGAACCCTAGAATGTTTGCAAGCCATTTACTAAATACAGTAATGCAAACAAAAAAGGAAACAATAGCAAGGAGAAACACTTTCTTACAGGATATCCACACATTATGAAGGGTTTCTGTATCTTCTGGAAACCTCTTATCAACTATACATGTCCGACAACTACGGTAAAACAGTATCGCCGAATGCAACACATCCTCCTTTAGCCAACTGGGCCAAATCCTGACTGTTGGGCTTCTGAAAGCCCCCCTCCCCACTGTGTCCCAGCTGTATTGGAGGCACACCTACACAAGGAGGCATGTCCCCACACATGGAAGGCCCTTGGCTTTTTTCATCATTAGTTCCTCTAGTGATATACAGGGTACTCCTGTTCAGAATCCAGACGATGCTAGTACAGTGGTGCCTCGCTTAACAATGTTAATTGGTTCCCAAAAAACCATCGCTATGGGAAAACATCGCTAAGCGAAACACCATTTCCCATAGGAATGCATTGAAAACCGGATAATCCATTCCAATGGGAACAGATTACTGTTCTTAAGTGAAAATCGCCATAGGAAACATCGCTAAGTGAAACAGTGTTTCCCCCATTGGAATGCATTGAAGCCTATTCAATGCATTTCAATGGTTTTGACAGGTCTGTCAAACCTACAGTTCAATGCATTCCAATGGGGGGGGAATTCACCAAAAATTAACGAAGTCTCAGAACAAAGCCAAATTAAGTTTGCAAAGGTTTTAGAAGGTGCACTAACAATTCCAAGCATTAAAAACAGTTTTTGAACATTTTAAGACACACTTAAAATAGCGAAAACGGACATCGCTAAACGAAACAGGGGGACCTAAACTGTCATCGCTAAGCGAGGCAAGGTCCCGAACATCGCTATGCAAAATTTCCCCATAGGGAACATCGCTAAATGGAGCGCAAAATTGCTCCAAAAACTTCATCGCTAAGCGGATACATCGTTAAACAAGGCAATCGCTAAGCGAGGCACCACTGTATGTGGCTCAAGAACACGTCTGCACAAGGCTCATGTTATGGGTGGGGGGTGGGAGGAGGTTATGTTGGAGTGAGGGGTCTATGTGGGTAACAATCATAAAATTGCCACACCTTTGATCTCTCCAGCTCGTGCTTTTTTGTAAAGGCCTTTGACGTCCCTGCTCTCACAGATATTCAGAGGTGCATCCACAAATACTTCAAAAAAAGGGAGCCCAGCCGTTTCGTGTATCTTTCGTGCATTCTGGCGATCCTGTGCAAAGGAAAGGAAAATAATGAACACAAGACTAGTCCTGGCAGATCAAATCACAGGCCTCTCTGTTCCAACATTCTTCTATGCAATGACCCACCATGTGTCTATGGGAAGCCTTATGTGCCCAGCTTGAAGAGGACAATGGCACCCTTGCACTCATAACAAGTAATGATGTGGTTATCCCAAGACAATTACCATTTTCCCCCTGTTCCATTAGGCTACACATACAAACACAGAAAAAAAAAATGACAGGATGCAGGACCCCACACCCATCCATCAGTTCTAATACGTCTGATCTACCGAAAGGGAAGACATTTACTAGGACCGATTTTCCAAAATGTTATTACAAAACACTGGCTGCATCCTGTTCTCCTGAAATGTACATCTTTTAAAACTTGCTACTAAATATAGCTTTATTTTAAAAATGTGGAAAAACATGCTGATTCATGGAAGAATATTCTTGAGAGTTTTACCTTTGTGAAAGGAGAAATGAAACTAGTTATGCAAACTAATCCAGCATCAGCGAACAGCCTGGCAACTTCAGCGATACGACGGATGTTTTCTTCTCGGTCGGCAGCAGTGAAGCCTAGATTTTTGTTGAGACCATGGCGAATGTTATCCCCATCAAGGGAATAGCAGGGGATGCCATGAGACACCAGGTATTCCTCAAGTGCAAATCCAATGGTGGTCTTACCAGCACCAGAAAGACCTGTTAATTATAGAAAGTGCACAAAGCACAGCGACAGGGTTTCATGTAAACAAAAACAAATTCATGAAATAAATTGCAAACTCATGCACTTAATTCATTTAAAAATATTGCTATTCCTCATAGGTGTAAGTTCTCTAACATCAAACACAGATTTGTACACATGTGTATTCTCTCTTGACTATTTATTGGTGGGGTGGATGGGGGATATTCAAGACAATGTAATTGCTTGATGAAAAGGTATGGTTCAGTCTTGAGTAACAGTTGTTTCTTGTCATTTTTTTCTAGCTGGAAATATGGAAGAGGTTTTTTGTTTGGGGAACTGGGAGCTGGAGAGCTACTTGAATTGTTTTAAAGGCAGCAGAAAGAGGAAGCCTCCAAATCCTTTGCTAAAAGTTTACCCAACACTGAGTCTTATATTTGAATGTCTGATGATTCAAACACACACTGATTCTGTATACAAAAACGAGATCTCCTGGGGTCAGTTCAGCCACTATGCCAACCCACGGCTTAGTTATTTCAGGATCAAACTGCCTCAACCTAAGTTTTCATGCTTCCTCTTCCCATCTTGAATCCCTTCTCTTAAAGTTTGAGTAATCTGCAGGTTCCCATTACGCTTGACATTATTTGACTTATGCTAATTTGTGGCTAGTTAAAAAAAAACAACAACAACAGCAAACTTCACTTTGAAGTGTTGGTTTGTTAACTAACCATCATTGAAACATTTCAATCTCAGAACTGGAAAATTGCCATCCATTTAAAAATAGAGAGTAGCTTTTAATATCTCCTTCTAGTGCAGAAACAAGGTGCAGAGACTGAGGCCCCCTGCAGCTTATTCTAAGAAACCTGTATCATGTACATCAATATCAGGAGTGTCAGTTTTCATTGTTCTGTTAAGCAGGAACAATAATGACAGTTATGAGCACACTGGCTGCCTTTTGAAGTAACACTAAACTATGATACTGTGAGCATCTCTTTCCTTTCGTACCTTAGCATGGCAGTGAGGAAATGAAAAACTTTTACTTCCATTCTTTATCTCTGTTATAAAATATTAAACACAAGACTAACAGGAAGCCACTGATGCAGGGCAGGATCCATTATTGCAAGTCACATCCAAGGAGAAACAAACACATAACAGGATCTACAGTATTATTGTAAGTCACATCCAAGGAGAAACAAACACATATTATTAACAGTTTGTGACAAAGACTTTAGTGTTATGTCAGAAGTTTAGTGCATGTCTGAACCCTAATAATCTGAACCCTAAAAAACCTCAGAATTTACAGTTACACATTTTCTTGCTTTAGTAAACCACAGTTAAAGATAACCACAGCTTGTGTGGGCTGAGACATGATATTAAACAATTATTAATGAAAATGAACTTTAAAAGTTTCCTATTTCCATGTCACAGCTTTGTCAGAGCTGATTAGGCTTGCTTACTAAGAATAAACCTGTTTGCCATTGCAGTCAGATGCAGACAATAAAGCTTTCAAATCATTCTGCACACTAGAAATATTTTGTATTGCACTTTATGTTATACTTGTATGTTGTTGTTTAGTCGTTAAGTCATGTCTGACTCTTCGTGACCCCCATGGACCAGAGCACACCAGGCCCTCCTGTCTTCCACTGGCTCCTGGAGTTTGGTCAAATTCATGTTGGTAGCTTCGATGACACTGTCCAACCATCTTGTTGTCTGTCGTCCACTTCTCATCTTGCCTTCACACTTTCCCAACATCAGGGTCTATGTTATATATTATACGTTAAATAGCACTTTAGAACTCTCTTGGTCACGAACAGTCAATAGTATTTGTTTCTCCTTGTATGTGACTTACAGTAATGAATCCTTTTGTGTACTTGTGGATTTCTCTTAGTCTTTTGTTCAATATTTTTTAAGAGATAAGTAACTTTCTTCATTAATATATCTGCTGAATTGTTCAGGAATATGATACCTGTTAACCATACTGTACAGCCGCGAAATCCGCCTCTTGTCCCCACAACTTGTCCTCTCTTACTTCTGCTAACATGATGTGCTTGGTATACCACATTGGTGGACCTATTGACATTCTAAAGACACAGAGAGACATGAATAGCATAAAACAATTGCTGTTACAAGTGACAATACAAAAAAAACCCTCCTTCTAATTTGAATATATAATACCAGCAGCAATAACAAAGACACATTAATTTTAAAAAATAAACTCAACCCACAAAATAATATAAAAAAGATCTCTCTAGTTTTCACTCCAAAAGTGTATGACGAGTTAGAGAGTTTTTCTACAATGTGAGAGCTTCATATGTCCTTAGAGCATTAACAAGATAACAAGGAACCTTGAAAAGAGGAGTAAAATGTTGCACAGAACACTCATTGACTCTTATCATAATTGGGATAGTTCATGCAACATGGCCTTCATTTAAGAACATTAAAACAGTTGTGCCAAATCAGATTAAAATTATATCTCAGTCCACATTCTGTTACCGTGGTGGTGATCCAGTTGCCCACAGGAAGCCCATGAACAAGACATGAGTGCAACAGTAACCTCTTCATCATGCTCCCCAGGAGCTAGTAGAGTTCTGATAATGGAGGTAAAATATAGTTATCTTGTAGGCACTGATACCACTATCTTCCACAAACCCTCTTTTAAAGTATATTGGCAGCTGGAACCACATGGCTTGCAGTAACAAATTCCACAGTTTAACTGTGAAGAAATGTTTTCTTTTATCTCTCCTGAGTTTCAAACCATTCAGTTCAATCTGATGAATCTTGGTTCCAGTTTGATGAGAGAGAAAATTGTCCCTTTACATTTTTTTTGCACATAATGTCTAATCCATGCCTGCAATGCACAATTCTTTGATCTAGGCTCAGATCAAGGTGTGAGATAGGTTCTGGGGCTTGAATGAACTGGATGACTACATTTGTCCCCTATCACGAGGAAACTTCATGCAGAGGCACAACATAGGTGGGAAAAAAATAATTGTCACTATGATTAGATTTTAAAAAGTAGCGAATGATAAAGATGCACAGTAGGCTCAGATTATTTGACATCCCCATTGCAAACATAGAACAGGAGGTCCAAGGCAGCTGGAATCCTTGCTCCATCCACGATGCCCTTAGGTCTGACAGTGGGAGGGGATGGGTTGGAAAGGAAGAGTTCCTGCCATCAGAAAGAGGCTTTTAAGGCATTAAGAAAATGACTATGACATTTCACTGTTGACCACCATCAACACCATCATCTAACAAGTGAACTAACAGCCTCCATTCTTTCACCATCAGTGAATGGAACTGGCAAGTATGTGTCACAGCTATCATAGAAATCATCCTTGCCTTGTAAACAAGCTTCCAGAAGTTATTAGCCTGCCAATTTTCAAAAAAAACAGAGGCCAATATATAGAAAGTCGTAGAGATGGGATATTTGTATTCGTATACGAATACTGTACAAATATCCTGGACCCAGGTGGTCAGGATCCCCAGTCTCACCTCCCTGAACTGACCCATCCACTTACAGGTTGCCATGCAGCTTGCATGGCTGGCAGTTCTGCTCATTGCACCAATGTCAGATGTAGCACAGTTGTCACTTCACCGCCTTCCTGCTCTTCTCGCCACTCAACCGCTGAGCGGGGAGACTTGTCACTCTGCCCCCCTGGCTGGAGTGACCAGAAGAGCACAAAGGCAGAACAGTGCCATCTGGGCTTCATCTGTCACTAGTGCAACAAGCAGGACACTGGCCACGCACGCTGCGCAGCAAACCCATAAGTGGACGGATCTGTTCAGGGAAGCGGGACTGGGCAGCCCAGCCACCTTGGTCTGAGAGATTCATATTCATAAAAGAATATGAATATCACATCTCTAGTCATAATTCACAGCAGAAGATGGTTTTCCCCACTCATGGCGCAGTGGTTAAACTGCTATATTGCAGCCAAAATTGTGTTCACAACCCGGGGTTCAATCCCACGTAGCTGGCTCAGTGTTGACTCAGCCTTCTATCCTTCCGTGGTCGGTCAAACAAGTACCCAGCTCGCTTGGGGGGGGGCAAGGTGTAGCCTGCATAACTAACTTGCAAACCGGCCAAAGAGTGCTTGAAGCGCTATGGGGTGGTATATAAGCAGCACACTTTGCTTTTTGCTTTTGCTTCTGATTGATCTCTTGGGTCTAGAGAGTGCAGAGGAAAAGCAAAGCACCTCATTCCTTCTCTATTAGTCCATTCCACCATGTACTATGTAATTTGTACTTGCCTATAGTTGTCACACAAGGCTACTGCTTCAACACAAGGCTACAATCTGGCTATATTGACATTGATATCAATATTAATATCTATACTCCCCTAAAGGATGTAATATTTACCTAACTAGGAGAGATGCTTCATTGAACATAGGATACTTATTTCAGAGTGCATAGAATAACGTACTGTGAGTGTGCAAAGTGCTTTATTCACACAATCTTAATAATTCTTATAGGCATCTTAAAAGGTACGTAAATATTTTTATTCTTATATAGCAGAATCAGGTTCTGGGATTTGGCTAAGTCAATTGATTTTGATCAACTAAAGATTAACTAAAATCCATCTCCTAGTGATGCACACTTCCCTCTGAAGTTTGTCTACAAAGATGCAGCAGATTTTTATGATGCGTAACTCTGCATACTACTGGAATTTTTTAGCTTGCAGGAAATTCCAGCATGAGCCCAAGGTCCCTTTTTATTTATTCTTTGGCTTTGTTTAGCTGAATCATTCTTAAAGAGACAAACTCTCTGCTGATCTCTGTGCAATGTGAATCTACACCATTTAGTCATTCCTCGAAATAAATGTCAGAGGATTTTAGAAATCTGAAATGATTCCTCTAAGTGCTTGATGGGGCCAAAACATGCAGCAGATACTTGCCTGGGTGAGGCTAAAACAGATAAAGAAAGCCACTTTCTGGTCTAACATATTTTCAAAATTGGATGGTGTGTGTGTTATACAAGATTTAATTGTGGATCAGAATTGTTGCCTTAATCCATAACGGAGCAACAAAAGAAAACCCGTGTAGTTTAACTAATTTCCTACAGTAACTCAATTTCCTTAAAGTATTTTATCAATTTAAATATTGACCAAGTTTCAATAAATACAATATTCATTCATTAAAAACAAACTGATCCATCAGGAAGCTGAAAGGTATTTCAAGGAAGTGTTCAGTTCTTATGGTCCTTTTGTCTTATGTGGAAGACTTCAATAAAGGGTTTAAGTCTCACAAATTCCTTTGCAGTATTCTTTGATACATACTAGTTATCCCAGTTGACAAGGATGCTCACATAAATTCCTGGTTTCAGTTCCTTTGTCAAAGCTTAGGAGCAAAGCCTTGTCAGTAAAGAATTATTCGAGTCAAAATGGATTTCTTGAGAGAGAGTCCTGTAAGAGTGTGAAACTTCAAATTGTAAGCATAACTCTGCTGTGTTTATACCACAATTTTGGACAGAAAATATTGGTTTTGCCAGGAAATAAGGCTGCTTTTATCAATATATAACTGAAATCTACCTTTCTCATATTTTTAACTGTTGTACATCTTATCAATGCCCTGCCACAAGACAAAGTCCTGACGGAGAAAAATGAATGCTAGCAAGCAGCAGTGCATTGTGGTCTTGAGAGGTAGACTAAAGGGAAAAAAAAGCAGTTGATTTGGCACATCTGCATCCCAGATGAAAATGCATGAACTAACAACTACTATAGCAGACATGACAGGGAAAATTCAAGTTACTACCCACTGATTCCCTGGGTTTTTCACTGCAGTGCTGCTATACAGGAAGAGTATAAAGTAGCTGAGGCTGCCAAGACTTTAGAAAGTCATCAGAATTTACCAATGGAAATCTCCAAATAAACCTCCAATGTGCTATATATCCAACAAGTTTCGGAAAGCACTGTATTACACTTGGATTTTATTCCAAAGTAATTATGCTAGAGCGTATCGTTGTTGTTTAGTCGTTTAGTCGTGTCCCACTCTTCGTGACCCCATGGATCAGAGCACGCCAGGCCCTCCTGTCTTCCACTGCCTCCCGGAGTTGGGTCAAACGCTAGAGCGTAGAAATACTCATATAGATGAGTCCATCCTGCCTTAGCACTCTACAGAGTTTCACACTATATCCATCTTTTCCCCCTCATGCCTAAAATTGATGGTGTCCAAAACATCCAGAGGGTACCAGTTTGGGGTGTATAAAATAGATAAAGAAAGCCGGATTCTGTTCTTTTCATATATTCCAGTATGATCGAGAAATGGAAACTGTGACCAGTGAATGACTCACCTGAAATATGAGGAATAATTCTCTTGATGTGAGACACATAAAGCCTAGCCTGGTCAGCTCTGCATCATAACGATTCTCTTGATTTTTATAGCAAAGATGAAATGACTTCTAGAGCAGATATATTAAATACAAGACATTCTGCCCCAGAACTGGGTACTGAACAAGCTGTTCCTTAGGAACTCTCCAAAGCATGTGTGGGCTTTCCTCACTCCTTACTGTAACTGTTATACGGGTGACAGCTTTTATCTAAACAGTGCCATGACTGAGTTCAATGTATACCTCCATTTTTGTAGTGCCAAAGGGCCTGCCTGTAGTCCTAAGAAAAAGCAGGCTAACATGGAGGTCCAGAACACCCTGCATAAACACTCATTGATTCAGTGGCCTCAGCTAGTGTTACTCAGCAGTGCCAGAGCAGTTGGTGTTGCAGGAACTCAATTCTGCATTCATGTTCTTTGAGCAAGCTGAGGGAAACCACTTTTGCTTTCTGGTACAAACCTAGCAGTTTATTCTTGTTAATTTTGGCACTACCACACAAGTCTTTCCTCTCAGCCATGTATGTCACACAGAAGGTTTTTTAAGGAGACCTACAGAGACATCCTAGTTACTTCAAACAAGCAGTCATTCAGCTGAGAGACAGACAGACTGAAATGCCAAGAGCTGTGCTGAAACTGACAGATATTTTCCTTTTCAACTGTTGGCTGAACAATCTTCCAGCCTTTAAGAAAGTCATATTTTAGGTGAAAAGCTGCAAAGAAAGTTCATTGTAATGTCTCTAGAACTTTTTGTCCATGAAACT